CAGAGCTAGAGTTTCTCCTTGAGGAGGTTAGTTTGTCGTCAGGCGTAGCAATGGCGAGCCGACGAAGACCTTCTCCATGTCCAGCCACTTGATGGTTTGACGTGGAGTCTCAGATCATTGATGATTTGGAACCTGAAGGTACTTGGCGCTGTTAGCATCTGCTGGAACATGCGAAGTTTGTAGGTGGTAGAGCGAGAATCGTCGATTTCGCATTCAGTCGAGGTCGATGAGAGAAGGATTGGTTTGTCGCGCAGCTTAGATCGAAGCTGGGCTCGCGCTTGAATTCATGGTGAGGAATATGTGAGGGTAGCTGAAGCATTGTGTTGGTTAACAAATGCACTACGCTAAAAGCTAGTGTAAAGATCTTTGAGTGTTTTGAGTTTGAGAGAATGAAAGTTATGAGAGGATTAGAAAGCTATGAAAACTAATCAACGAGAGAGATCCACAATCAAAGGATCGTAGATCTGAACTCCAGCGGGAGACTGTAGATGGTGATAAGGTAGGTTGGGTAGCATCATACTCACTCCACGATCAAAAAGGAACGCGTGGAAGATTCGTCTAGCTATATCTAGTAGCTGGATACTCCACGCCAGCTAAAAATCTAGGCGATGTTTCACTCGACCTAGATGACTAGCGGTCATTGAGAACCTGTCTCAATGCTATTCACGAAAGACTCATCATGAGTCGAACTCAAACCCATCTAGGATCGAGTCGCGAATAAGGCTAAAGAGCCGTGTATTGCAGTACGGCTCCGACATGCTACGGCCAATGGCGGCACAGTCATACAGACTTGGAACATAAGGTATATACACCATACAAGCCTGATCCCCTTGAGGATTGCCATCGTGCGACGCACATGTCTACATCCAAATCTCATGAGAGTGCCCCGCACTTTAAATCATTTGTTCTCCTTGTCCGACTGCTGTCGCGCCTTCTGTGACCTTGTCAGGGGCGAATGCAATACACGGCTCTTAGCCTTATTCGCGACTGATCCTAGATAGGGTTTGGTTCGACTCATGACTGAGTCTCTCGTGAATAGTCATTTGAGACAGGGTTCTCAATCCGCTCTATCATACTGGTTGATGATGAAACATCGCTCTAGATATTTAGCCAGCGTGGAGTACTTCACGCTACTAGATCCATGCTAGACAAATCTTCCACGCGTTCCGTTTTAGGATCGTGGAGATACGTAGGATTACTACCGCAACCTACTCTATCCACTTTATAGTCTCCCGCGGGAGACCAGATCTACGATCCCTGTGATGATCTCTCTCGTTGATTAGTTTTCATAGCTTTCTAATCTCTCTCATAACTTTCATTCTCTCAAACTCAAAACACTCGAAAGATCTTTACACTAGCTTTTAGCGTAGTGCACAACAAGTGCCATCTTCAGACTTCAGACCAAGCACCATAGCTGCCAAAGCTCTTGGGCAAATGCCTTCAGAAAGATACTTCTTCTCGCAAGCACCTTGCTCATCAGGTGGAAGTCCTGCTCCGGCAGAGGCTTCGAGAGTTCCAATCACTTCAAGATCTTCTTCAGTGGCAGCGTCACGAACCAAAGCAGCCTTGGCAGCAGTAGCTTTGGCAACAGCTGCATGCCTCTTCTTTTGGGCTGCCGTCTTCTGGGCTGCCGTCTTCATGATCTGTTCTTTCTCTGGACCACCCTTCATCTGAGCTGCTGCAGCAGCCCTTATCTGGGCCCCTTGGGTAAGAATGTTCTCATAGTACTGTACAGCATTTCCTTGGTGACATTCTTTTCGGGGCCCATAGGACTGAATGCAGGCATTGAAGGGGAAGCGGCACGATGCCTGGGATCCTTTGGGGCCATTGTGATCTGTCGGAACAACTCTTCAGTTTGAGCTTCTTCGAGAAGGCCGTCGGGTGTACTGGAGAACCTCTTCTTCTCCAAAGCTGGCATTTTCTTGGCTTCGTCTTCTGATGAATCTTATGTGTCGGCAAAGCGCAATCCTTCGGGATCTTCAACGTCTTCACTGGGAGCCAACAAGTCCACCATGACATCCAGTTCCTTCATCAATTTAGTGGTACGTGCAATCCCATCTGCTGCGGCTTCCTTGTTTCGCTGATGAGCGATTGCCATTAAACGTCCCTCACGGCCTCACGGTCAACATATTGATGCAACGTTCCTTTCTTCTTGAAGTTCTCCTTCTTTTTCTTCTCCTCGTCTTTTTCCTTTGGCTTTTCAGCTTGCATCATGGTGGGCAAGCAACACAACAATCAACAACCAACGAATTCTTGCCTTGTGGCTGGTGATCCCTGGGGGATCGTCTCTAGACTACTTTCATCAGTAGTACTATGATGAGATACGTGGATATTCTTCAAGGAGATTTTCCTTCCCGGTACATAGGCTGTGTAGGTTTCTACGTGAGGGCGGAATCCGAACTCGACTACGAAACCGTTCAAACCTTTCAACGCCTACCTCTGTCCTTAAAAGGAGAATGTCTCTTAAGTAAAGCTCAATGGAAATTCCCTTCCGAGGGTTGGAAATCAGCTTCCGAGCAGTGGAAAAGGACAGTTCAATCCGAATCCGTAGTAAAAGCGAACCTTGCTCAAACCCACAAACAAGATACAAGCACTAGCTAGCTAGTACCGTACGCATGTACCGTACAGTACAGTACACGTACGCATGGGTCGAACGCGAAGTCTGCGGCTGCTCACTGTGACTTCTGACAACTGGTACCAAGTCGACATCTGGGACGACTGATAACTCATAACCAGAGACGGAATGATTCTGATTCCATTCAATCTCATGTCCACTATTTTAAAATTAAAATACAGTGCCAGCGTTGACTGGTACGGTGTGGCCTGTTGATTTTATTTTTTAAGTACAGTACCGGTACGGTACTACATTTCTGCAACAGTAGTTGCACAGCCTCAGTATGTGCTTCCCCTACTACTATGTGGATCTTACATACCTCAGGATCAATGACAGTATGCTACGTAGAAAGTCTACAGTATCAGTAGTCATTGAAACAAAGATCCTCTCAATAAGACTCTCACTATTAAATAAACTGCAACAGAGAAGATATAACACCGGCAATAAGACCAACCACATACTGAGAGGATTCCGATTTCACCTTAAGTAGCCCCAGAAGGTATCCAATGTGATCTGATTGGATTCGATTCGGTACCTGAAAGAGCCACGTACCAATCGTTGCAGTTTACTCAAGCCTACTGGCACGAATGGTTCGTGTATACTCAAGCAGATCCGATCGTTACGTTCGAGCATACTCAAGCAAAGAGGCAAACAACTGGCAAATCCCGTGCGTTCGATCGATCGTCTCTGTAGCTACCGGTAGCTACCGGTGGCTAGCTACTGTAATCAGTTCTTCATTTCAGAGCTCATTATTTTCAATCCTTCAACTCTATAAAGGAACTCTGCCAAAATTCCAGCAGCTCAACCAAACCAACAATTGCTTAGTTGACCAAACAATTACTCCACCATGGCCAACAATGCCAATGATGGAGCCTTTGGTTGGAAGACTGCCGGATTTGCCTGAAGCACCCACGGAACAGCCCAATACAACCGGGATTACCATCGACTCTTCGTCAAATTCATGAGCTGGCTGCACAAGAGGACGTACACCAAGGCGGCTCGCTTCCAACCCAGTGCTTTGGCGGCATCCAACCACATCACGTTGCCGACTACTTGAAATGGCTGCGTATGGTACGACGGACGTTGACTTCAAAGACCTCGAGCAGAATCCAACTTGCGCTCCTCTACTCTTGAGCAAGACAAGAAGCTATTCCTTTACATGCCATCAAAGGTGCCACATGAATGGAACCTCCGGCAATCCAACCAAGTCCGATCCTTGAACGAAGTGGTCAAGGAAGTCAAGAAAGCGGAGATCAACACCGCGGCAAGAAGTCCTGTGCACCAGGGATTTGACGGAAACTGAGTATCCAAGGTGGTCCATGAACTCTACGGCAAAGGGAGTTTGAATCGACCATCCGTACAGCCTGCATGTTGAAGCAGCAAGTCCATCTTATCACCAGGACGGACGACATCTCAAGTTGAAGTATTCCGACTACAAGCCGCATCCAGATTCCCTTTTGCGCTCATTGCAAGGTTCATTGGTCCAAGAATATTCGGAAGAACGACAATGCCCTGACCAAATCATTCTTGGGTCGATGATACCGACTTTTGTGCTGCTCGGATTGGCGAATTACAATGGAGGCGTCCTTCAACTACGGGTATGGCGCCGCTGGTCGGGAAGATGCATTCCTCTTTACTCCCGAAAGCGATCCTAAGTTGGCTCCCAAGCACTGCAACGCAGCTACCGCAACATTCTCAAGGCTGTCTTTTTGTCGGCTCCATTTCTGGCTGTGGCGCTCGTAATACTAGTAGTTCCTGTTTACTCGGAATGTTCACAGGCTACCGGTAGCTACCGGTAGGCCCTAATGGACTCGACTCGACTCGACTCGACTCGACTCGACTCCGTCCAGTCGCCAAGAAGTAAAGTGGTCACGAAAAGTCTATTTTTTTAACAATACAGTAATTGCAGTCGTACGGGACCACGGTACCGGTACAGCGTACCGGTACCCGAGTAGCGTAAGAGGAAAGCGCTGGAAGGAATTCAGAGTTGCGGTAAAAACCTTTATTAGCATGCCTATGAGATAATTTTTGTCTCCAGGCTTCTCATTTTGCGCTTATTTTGCAAAGATGCCAGCTTGTTTTGTCTTCAACCGACCACTTTTAATAAAAAGCTTTCCAGCCGTGGCCAGACGCAGCTCCAGACTCCAGACGCCCAGAGCCAGAGTTTTGGAGGAACCTTTGAGCCACCGGTACTGGAAACAGCCTTTGCATACGACTGTACAGCTGTAACCGAAATGGCAGCGCTATTCGTACGGTACGAAACCACCAATCTACGTAGCTAAGCTACCGGTAGCAGTAAATTTTCACTGCTGCGAGTTTGCCGTATCTACACTTCCACCCTCAGACACCGCCTTCGTTTTCCTATAAAGATTTCAACACTCTTGCAATGGGCGGCGACAAGCCAAGCAAAAAAGGGAAAGACGAGCGAGGAATGAATCGTCGAAATCAGGGCGAGAACACTAGTAGTAGACAAGAAAACCAGGAAGATGCTGGTCTGGGTGGACAAGGTCAGGGTGGCGGTCGTGGTCGTGGTGGTGGCCGTACTGGAGTCTGTAGACAACCATGGGAAGAATCTTTCAGAAGGCTACTGGAGTTTCAGCGCAGGTTTGGTACGTGGCTTTTGGGAAACACCGCTCTCTCTTCATGTCCCTTTCGTTACGTCTTCATTTCACGTTGCGTGCTCTTTTTCATTCATTCTTGGCTTCTCAGGACATTGCAGGTGGGATCTGCGTTTGCTGTTGCGCCGAATAAGGATAGACAAAGTCTGAGTAGATCTAACCTCCCGTGGACGTGCTGATATCGCGCTGGGCATAAACAGAGTTCCGAACAGATACGCAGAAGACAAGGCGCTTGGCAGTTGGGGTGCGTATCTCCGGCAATATCCCAATTCGGTTCCTGTCGTGTGGACTCACTACTTTTTGGCTGCCTGCCTCAAGTAGTATCAACTCAACGGAACAACCGGAGGCATTTGAATGATGGCAGATTGTCAGCGCTGGCTAGAGAGAGGATCAGGCGACTCGATTCAATTGGTTTCAGCTGGGGTGGTAGGGATGACGCTGACTTGGACTGGGAGGTAGGCAGGACAAGCTTCCAATTGTTGTATCATTGAGCTGTTCAACCATCTCTCCTTGACGCTGTCCATTTGATGACATCCAGGATCGGTTCCAAGAGATGTTGAGATACATGGTGAGTATCCAGTTCCTCCTTGTGTTGCCATCCATTGTATTATCTAACATAACTCGGTGATGTCAACGGTGCTGCTATTAGCGGCAACATGATACCACAGAGGTGCCAACCAACCATGCAGAACACCAACGAGTAAGTGGTTGGGTGTGGGAATGCCCCGGTCGACTCCAAATGGAATGTAGCTTCACCTCACACTGTGGTTATTGCAACCAGCTGGGGCGATGGGTGACTGCTCAGCGGCAAGAATACAAGCAGTTTGAACGGGGTAACAAGTCCAAACTGAACGATGACAAAGTGCAGCGCCTCGATGCGTCTGGCTTCAAGTGGGTGGTCCAACGAGGGAGGAAATCAACTAGAAAATCGGCCGCGGCCACTCGGCAGCACGTACCAAGCAGTATTCGAGAGAGTCCACCAGCACAACAAGATTGGCCCTCTAATCAGCCCAATGGTGAGCTTCAAGTGTTGTCCGCTCCTTCCCAAGCTGCTGAAGCTGCCGCGTATGCTCCTACAGAACTGGAAAGATCCCAAGAAGCAGGTGCACTCGGTTCAGAAGGACTTGCTGGGTCAACCTTTCAGGCGGGCCAAGGTCAAAGCTTTGGGCAAAAGAGCCAACCTTCAGAGGGAGGGTTGACTGCGGCTAGAGCTCCAGCATCGTCGGGCCCATCCGCAAATACATGGGAGCAAATTGTTGCGAGGGAGTTGAATCATAGTTCTGGTAGCCCATCCGTCGGTGGACAACAACAAACCCCTCAAGACCTGCAATCCGTCGCTGCTGCGGTCAAGCAGCCAACCACCTCTGCATCCACCTCCGCAGCCACGGGACATCACGCTTATATCACCGCTGAATTGGTTGCCTTCTTGGACGAAAATCCGGCAACTGCATCTAAGCTGTGGGAAGTCTTGATTCGACAGGTCAATGCATCGAATGAATCTTCCAGCTCTGGATTGACAGTGAATCAAAATACTTCTACTGCTCATATCTCTGCATTCTTGAACCAATGTCAACTGCAGGGACTCATGGCTCAACTGGCCAACGCATCAAGTGAATCTTCCACGTCTGCATCCGCAGGAAATCAAAGTATTGACATTGCCCAATTGTTTGAGGCCTGGAACCAGCCTCCAAATCTTGATCCTCGAGCAACTTTGAGGCTGCTGAATGAAGCACTGTCAAACTATGCAACCGTCAGCGCGATAACTGGTTTGTTCCCGATACTAAATGAGTTGGCTAACCGGCCTCCAGCCAGTGGGCAGGGTGAACTCTCGGGTCTCCAATCCAATCAGCTGCTCCTCAATCCATCTGCTGCTATGCAGCCAGATGACTCGACTCAACAGGCTGCACTAGGTCCGTCACTTAATGGTGCGTCCAACCTGCAATCAGTTCTTTGAACGCGCGAAGTCTTAGGCTGCCCTAACACTTGTCCCCAGATAATAATATGTTGCCAGCACAGGGAGAATCTTGGTCGAATGGTGAAAGGACAGCTGAGACGCCATCACAGCCAGCTGCGCCTGCACATCCCCAGAACCGGCAAACCAATGACCTGTCCGCGGTATTGGCGGTTCTTGCAGAGGCCAATATCGACGTGACATCATTGGTGCAATCGCTGTATACAGAGAATACTGTTGGGGTTGCAGCCGCGAGTCCTGCCCCCAATATCAGGCAAAATGAGTTTCCGCCGTCGGCGTTTGCTTATCCGCAGCAGCAACAGCAATCGGCGCTGTATACAGAGAATACTGTTGGGGTTGCAGCCGCGAGTCCTGCCCCCAATATCAGGCAAAATGAGTTTCCGCCGTCGGCGTTTGCCTATCCGCAGCAGCAACAGCAACAGCAATCGGCCACCCAGAGCACCGGCGAATTGTTTTCGGTTCAAAGGATATTGCCCAATTTGCAATCTTTTTCCAATTTCGGCTCGTCCAATACTTCCACTGGGTCTCCCGTGCCCGCTCCTGGAGTAAGCGTTGGCGGACCGTCCTCACATGGGCCACTAACCAACAGCACCGAATCGAATCTGAGCGATCAATCAGCTATCATTTCTTTGTTGCGTGAGGCATTGCAGGAGAATGGCGCCATGCAGCTGCCAAACAGCACTTCTGGCACAACCGCCGAGACAAATGTTCCAATTCATCCACCAACATCAGCCCAAACGCAGGACCAAGCATCAGGAACGACACTGGCCTCTCCGGCCACCACTGGTATTGGCGATTTGCAAAATGTCATTCAGGCATTGATAGCTTCGTGGGAGTGGGGGCAAATCTCTGACGATCAAGTTGTACAGGCCTTTGCCGCTCTACTATTGCCGAACTCTGCTGTTCATGGTGAGTTGACTTCTGCTTCGTCAGCTTTGGTTTTCCAGGCAGATGCCTTTCGCCAGATGATACCAACACAAGACCCTAACCAGGGAGCACAAATGAGGGAGAGTCCCCGTGGAGTGCTCGAGGCTGCGCTGACAACCTTACTTCAGTCTCTCGCTTTGCAGCCCACACAGGGTCGGCCACCCGAACCAGCGCCATCGTTTGCGGCAGCCCCTCCAGTTGCGGCAGCGGCGGCGGCAGCTCCCGCGGCAAACTCTGAAGAGCTTTCCCCGGCAATGATGCGCTTGTTGCAATCCTTTGAGGGGGCCGTTCCCCAGCAGCAGCAACCAAGGGATCCCAACGAGGGAACCTTCAGGGAGGAGGATGACAGGAAGCCAGCTGCCAAGCCGAGTGCGAAACGGACTAGAAGGAAGTAGCTATAGTTCGGGCCTCGCACAGAAGGACATACCGCAAAAACGTACGGAGTAGAGCTGATGCCAAGGTGGTCCACACAGTCCATCATTCATTTTTGTGATTCGATTCTGCTGTGCGTTTGCGACGTGAATGCAGTGCCGCATTCTCCTACTGTAAGGTTGCCTAATTATACCGCTACCGGTATTGTTGCTCAAACTAGCTAGGGTCGGATTCGCGGAGGGTCAGTTTCCCCGTTGGGCTCCGCGGTTCTGGCTACTCTGCTATCTAGCTAGCTACTAAAGATAGTACCGTATGGTGATTTGGGACTTTCATGCCTACAGATAGCACTATCATCATAGCCACGAGCTACAGGAAGAACAGACGCAATGTAACGAAGGCAGACGAGGAGCGACCAAAAGACTTCTAGTGGCTAGTACCGTACAATGTCATGTACTCGAGTGCCGGTACGGTATGATTGAACAATTCGATTCGATTCAACCCCGTCCCTGCAGTTGGCCACGAGAAGTGAACATGCCTCTCGTCGTCCCCTGAAGTGGCTCGCTCAAGCATTCATTCATTTGATATACCTTGCGCACTAATGAAATATAACCACTCCCCATGCATGCAGCAACTACCGGTACTGAACTCCTTATTAGTCGTTCCCGCCTTCACAGAAGACCTTTTGACTGGTTGAGACTCCAGGTACCGGTGCCAGGTACCGGTATGCATAGCTGCTAGCTAGCTAGATTGAATGGAATCATTCCTAAAAAACTACGGTATCTTTGCCAGTGGGGCAAAACCTGCCGTTTGCTGAACACTCTATGTCAAGTTTACTATTTACAACCCGCCGTGCTATGATAGAAGGATGAGCAAAAGAAGAAGCTCGCTAGCTGGCTAGCAAGTGCACTGTGAATCAGTACAACACACCAAATTATGCTTCTTCATTTGTGCGGAATCTTCTCCGCTTTATAATAGATTTTTGTCTTTATGTCATAGTTCCAACGCCTTGATGGCGAATGATCGCTGATCGCCACAACGGAGAGGAGGAAATTGTGAGGGTTTTATGCTCAGACGGAGGCCATTCTAATTCTTCTCCCGAAAGTCGGAAGCTGGCCGGCCGCCTCTATTCTTTACATGGGCGAGGTGCGGATTGGGCGAGCTGTCGCCTATTTGCTATTTTGGCAGTCGGCACAGGTCCAATCGCTGCCTCCAATCAGCTGTGTTGGCAGTTGACGGTACAACAGCATCATCGACCATTTTCGAGAAGCCTTGGTTGTAGGTACCAGGAGTAGAACAAATGACAAGGCGGAGGCTATCACCCACCAAGATAAGTCTGATCACTCCATTATCAATCCAATGAGTCCTCCTCCTGGTCACTCCTACTCAGCCGCCCCTCGACCGCGGGTGAATGCAGGGGTCGAGCCTCAGCCGCATCGAATTCAGCAACAGCTGACGGTAGAAACCCTAGAACAACCACAACCGCAACAGCACAATACCATGTCACATCCTCCTCACCACCACGGTTCCTCCTCTCTCCAGTCTCCCTCTCATGATGGTGCCAGTGCACAACAGCCGCACCACGACGACGATGCCGACCATACCACCCAAGGTTTACCCTCGGAAAATCAACTAGTCTTGCTCTGTTTGGATTATCTTCGAGATTTGCGACGTGCGTATCCCGAGGATGATCTGAGAGAATTGGAGGGTATGAATGCTGATTATCTAAGTGTGGCAGTGTACGCTTTGAGCAGATGCTTTACCCGCCCTGACACCTTGGTGGAAGACAACGATTGCATGATGGATCCATTGAAACAACCGCCTCTGTCCCCCCGCCATCAAGGGTCCAAAAAACTCACCACCAATGGCAATGGTAGTCTTGTCATGCCGAGCATGGCTGTCATCAACCACGAAATTCTCTATGAGGAAAATCCTAACATGGCAGAGGATGACGAGGATCAAAAGAAGGACGACACTGATGAAGCGGATCCGTACACATGGTATGATTATGATGACATGCATCCATCCAATGTTCATCGGTTTTTCCCCTTGGCAGGTTTGGCCAGTGGTCCCAGTCTCAGAGGGCCTTTGACTCTGGGAGAACTCACAGCTGCTGGTCTTGCAGGTCTAGGAGCCCGTAGTCGACTGGATGCCGAGAAGGACATGATCCAAAGTCCTCTCTTTGAACAGTTTGTTCAGGCTGTCAAGTCAAAGGGATTCTTCATGGACCCAGATAATGATACTCCATTGGTTGACCCGGAAGAGGAGCGCCAGAGGGTTATCCGACAGCAGAAAAACTATGATGAGCGCTTCCGGAAGGTGGTGGCAAAATTCCGAACCAAGCTTGCTGTCAAGGCAGAAGCTCCGGCCAAACCAGGGACACCCCTTAGCGCGAGTAGCACAGGAACAAGTCCCATGCGGTCGGCAAATTGGTTGGCATTGACCTCCGCTGATCGTCAGAGACGTCGTCGCGAACATGCATTGGAACAATCGCGCTGGAGGAAAAATGGAGCCCCCCCGACACCCAATCGTCTCGCATATAGTCCTCGAGGAGGAGGAAAAGGCTTTGGCGTCACGACGCCGGAACGTGCCACTGACGGGGGACAAGAATGCTCCACGCCTCGATCGCAATTGGACCATCCCGTGGATCTGGAACAAGCAGAGCGAGCCAAGGCCGAAGGAAATGTATACATGCAGAAGAAACTATATCCTCAAGCCGTGCAAAGTTACACGCAAGCATTGAAAATCAGCCCCAATGGTCCTCATAGTCATGTCTATTTCTCCAACCGTGCTGCCGCCCTCTTGAGCATGAAAAAGTTTGGCGAAGCTATCTTGGATTCCGAGCGCTCCTTGGCCCTCAAACCGGACTACGGCAAAGCCCACGCCCGATTGGGACTGGCCCACTTTTTGAGCGGAAGCTACCGACAAGCCATGGAAGCCTACACCGTGTCGCTCAAATACGACCCCAACAATGCCAGCAGCAAATCCTACCTAGAAAAGGCCGCTAAGCGATTGGCAGAAGGAGGCTCGTCCAGTCATCAAGGGCCCATTCAAAGTTCTTTTAGCTTGGTCAGTGAATGGGAGTCCAGTCAACGACAACATCACCATCAACAACAACCATCATCTTCTTCCTCTCTTCCAACTTCCCATCAGCATCAAGGCGGAGGAGGTTCCGTCACTTCCGCTTCCCATCCAGACGGTGATGATCGATCAAAACAAGAACTACAACGAGACGCAGAAAAGTTCAAGGCAAAGGGCAATGCTTTCATGGCTCACAGGGAATACACGTTGGCTTTGGAGGCATACACATCGGCCATTCAGTGCTCTCCCAATGGACCGCAGTCCCATGTGTACTATTCGAACCGAGCAGCTGCTCTCTGTTATCTGGAGCGCTACCGGGACGCCATTGCCGATTCCGAAAAGAGCTTGGAGCTGAGTCCAACTTATGGAAAGGCTCACGCAAGGTTGGGTCTTAGTCGCTTCTTCCTGCAAGACTATGCTGGAGCTGTTGCCGCATACACCGCGGCGCTGCAGCATGATCCTGACAACGCTGCATCCAAGTCGTACTTGGCCAAAGCAAAGGCCAAGTTGGAAGGACGAAGCAGTCGCCCCAGCAGTCGCACTTCCTCCCCCGCCCCATCGATGTCTAGTCGTCGACGTCCACCTTCCACTTCAAACTAGTAAAATGAACTCAATCAAGTCATAATAATAAACCCTCCAATCCTCACAAGAATAGAGAAGACAACGAGGCGGGGGGCCCAAAGAAGCGTCCAACACTTCCCTTTTCAACTCTTCCTCTGCGGGAACTTCACAAAACTGTACCGGACTCGAGTGAGGGTCGTGTCAGACAGAGCATTGGTAGAAAGACACAGCTCTACCACTAGCACTAGTAGGCAACAACTACCACAAGTATTCTAGCTATTTATTCCATACTTGCCACAGTAATGAGAGCAGTACATGTAAAATCCCTCCTTTTTTCTACTAGACTACGGTACGTGCTACTATGCATAGAGTTGCATAGTAGTTTGCAATTAATTCTTGAGCTCGTCTGAATAGCTACATGTAGTCTAGATCTACCGTACGTACTGGTACGATGTACCGGTACCAGGAGGATCCGCTGGTAAATAGCCGTTGTACTCGGGTCAGAAATGCCGGCAGAGCTGCGTCAAGCCGAACCTTGGGATTTTGAGGAGAGGGTTCAAAATAAATGAACAGAGGGTTCAAAAAGGATCGAGAGGTGACAGAGAACATAAACCAAGATGGCCGAAGTGGAGCATCCTCCGCCGACGCCCTTTGGCGCTCGGACAGAACAAGAAAACGTGGATCCTGGCAGTGTTAGTATGAATCTAAGAGATGCCTTCCTGGCTGGGACTGGTCAGTGTCAGAGCATATTGAATGAAGTGATTGAAAAAGACGAAGTGTTGCCGTTGGAGATATTCGAGAGCATGGAGCGAGACATGACCGAACTGCTTTGGCAGGGATACTTCAGGATGAAGAATGGACAAGCGCTAGTAGACGGCGGATCGAATCGAAACCGTGACTGTCTGACGCCTCAAGAGTACTACTCTAGCGGAACAGCCATGTTGCTGGCTGGTTTGTTTCAGTTGGCCAGACCAAGAGTTGTCATTGAAACTCTTCGCCATTGTTTGGACGCCAGCGAAATGGACAAAACCATGCTGAGTCTGGTGTTGGACCTACGACGAGGGCATCCTGGATTGAAGCTGGAGACTTGGGAAAATGCATTTGGTTTTGTCTCCACTATTCAGTCCAACGTGACACAGCAGCAGAAAGAATGGATACGCCGCAGCCGACAACTTGGGATAAAGCCCACGACGAAAGAATCTCTCGAAGCGATGTGGATTATTCCTTTTTCATATATTGTTGGTTGGATTTTCTTCCACATCTGGCGCAAGAACCGCGAAGCGTCTACGCAATCCTTCACGGGCTCCTGGGATGCTGACATTCGCCCAGGGATCGACAAAATTCTGCGCGTCGCATTTCCAAGAATGCGGTCCCAAGAGTACATGGAAGCAGGTCTCTTACTCCTCCAGGTTGACTTGCTGAAGGTCATGCCAAATGAGACACCGCAAGTTGTGTGTATCGAGCAAATTGTCAAGGGGCTGCAGAACTCGTAAGTTTCGCGTTCTGAGCTTTTCCTCTTGGAATGAAATGAAGAATCAATCAATCCTTTCTAATGCCTCTTTCTTTTCGCTTACCAATATTTCCCCAACTATTGAAACAGGAGCGTGTTGAAGCTCTTGGTTACAGCCACAGCATTGCCAAGCTTCACGCTATTCGCAGCTTGTGCTGACAAAGTCTTGGGCAGATTAGACTTTGACGAGCACAGCAGGGTTGCAGCATCAAGCACAAAGTTGATGCGAAGGGAGGCTGCCGCTCATTATTTGTCAAAACTGAAGGCTGCGAGACCAGATCCAGAAAAACCCGGAGAGTCCCGTCTCAGCTTGACGGCCTCCAACAACGCAACAAACGAGGATTCGCAGACGCAGTCTCATCGTGAGGCTTTGCTGTCAAATGAGTTTCCACTCCTCGTCTATATTGACACGCTACTGGTGAACGATCGCGTCGAAGACGCTATTGATATTGTTTCGGATATGGAACTTTGTCCGCGGTCGGTACTAACCGAAAATGGCGTAGTCGATGCATGGTGCAAAGTGTTCGAATTCCTTGTCGTCAGCGGTGTAGCATTTCTGGATGGCGTGCCCGGAGGGAGGCCCGAGTACACGAACAACCGCAAAATTCTTCTGGAAAAGCTTGTTGGCGCAGTCGGACACGTGGGCTGGAACTATATTCTGGATGCCTACTTGGAAATCCTGAACGAGGTTGCTGAACTACCAGTTGGACTGAGCAGCCGAGAAGAGCAGATTTATGTTCAGCGTGCGTGTCATCAAACCGTCTTGCGAATTCTACAGCAAAAGCACAACGACGAACAAGGGTTGACAGTGTTTCTGTCCGAGTATTGGAAGCATGCTGTAACCATTGAATGGAAGCATCGGGGTTCGTGGCCTTTACTCTTGTCATCGTCGTCGGCCAAAGAACGCAAGGAGTGGGCTGTGGAGCTCCTTGGCGAAAACAATGAAGTTCCCGAGTCACTGAAACTGAACCACGATGGGTTGCTCTTACCTGATGTCGCAGGTTTGCTCAAGCGAAAAGAAGAACCCAAAGAAGTAGCTTGTACCAAGACCATCATGACCTCAGCACCGGATGGGAACACCACGGAGACCAGACATGAATATGAAGTAGGGGCTGTTGACATCGAGATCGATGGAGGCAATGATGAGGTCACCAATGTTCAGGATTCTGGCGATGAAGATCAAGTCTCGAACAAAGCAAATGATAATGCTGCTGACGCCATTGAGCTCGAAGATGACGAAGATATGGATGTCGAGGGAGGCCAAGAGGATGATGACATGGGTGGAGACGACGACGAGGAACGAAGCGGCAGTGGAGAAGTTGTTGCTGGGGAGCCTTTGAATGAGAATCTGGTGGAAATCGATGACGACAGCGACGACGAGGAGGATGTTGCTGCTACAATTGCAAGTATCGTTGGGCCAAAAGGAGAGGATGGAGATGGCAATGATTCGGACGGCACTGTCGATGACGATTACAACGTGGAGCAGATTCTGTCTGACCACTCAAATGAACGGCCAGATGGCGATGGCGATAGCGACAACGAGAGGGAGGAAGAAGAACTATCTCACCACGATGATCCCGAAGAAAACCAAGGCGCAGAGCTGCCAGATTCGGGACCCGAAGTGGTGGACATGCTGGATGACTCTGACGAGGATGACGAAGAAGAAGCGGAAGTCGAACCGTACGAGGACGCTCGATTGGAAGACGCAGAAGCAGAAGTCTATGATGAAGACGCAGAGGATGCGAAGGGAGACAACGATGATGTGCACGACGTTGACATGGACATGGACGAAGCGGGCAGTCAAACTGGATACGAACCAGAGGACACCCATGGGTTCACTGAAGAAGAAGTATCAGAAGCTTTCCACACGGAAGACGAGGAGGAAGAAAAACTGGAGTCAACGGTGCAGCAGCCCGTTATTGACAGCAAAGAATCTGAGGAAGCGCCCGAGCCTGTCAAGAGACCCCACGCATCTCTTGAGCCTCATACCCTTAGTGATATGGATTACGCCGACGAGCATACAACGGAGCAGAGCGGTCAAGAGGAAGATCCAGGTGCGGAATCTTCTGAATTGGACGAAGCAGATGGTGTGCCAGCTCATTTTGACGCGCCCAAGTCGACGGAAAAGGCAAGCGAAGGTGGAACGCTGAATGAAGGAGGCACGTTGATGGACTTTGCCCGGCGTGCTCAGGTCCAAATCGCGGAAATTGAGACCACTACTACAACTGGAAGTTCCCGGCCATGGCACTGGACCCAGAATTCCCTAGCACAGTTGGAGCCACCAACAGGTGATCCTTCCCACCAGGCTCCGCAAGATGATGGGTCACTTCAAGCGTCGGAAACTGACGAGTTGGAAACACCGGCCAAGGTGGTTGTCGACCATGTACCGGCGGATGGAACTGGGGCCGACCCCGATGGTGTCAAGCTCGAAAGCGAGACTCCTGCGTCTCGTTTCCAGCAAGCATCAGTGATGAGCTTTGCAGGCACAAGCGCTGCTGTTGGTTCGTTGAGCCTAGCCGACTCCGCAAACTACGAACCAAGTGACGAAGAGGACAACGGTGCCAAATCCGCGGAGAAAGTTCTGGTTGACTGCGTACCGGGAGCCTTTGGATCACCCAACAAAGATCAGGATGATGAAGCCGTAGCAGCAACGGACGATGATGATAAGAAGCCAGCTGCCGTAACTCGTGAAACGTTTGGTATCAAGGAATCACAAGACGAGGAAATGAAGCAGGCAACGGACGAGAAGCCTGTTGACGATACTGCTGTTGTGGCAATGGAGGTCGACGAGGAATCTTCGAAGCTGCCGTCACAAGACAAGGAAGTGAATCAGGCAACGGACGAGAAACCTGTGGACGATACTGCTGTTGTGGCAATGGAGGTCGAAGCAACAACAATTGAACGCGGCGATGTAGACGAAACGTCTACGGTAGAGCAGAAAGAGATCCAGTCTACCGATACAGTTCCTGGCGACCATGAGGTGGAGGAGGATGCAGAAGACCACAAAGACCCTGTTCCTGCAGCAGAGCCGACTTGTGAAGATAGTGATAATGATGTCGCCGCTGCAGAGACAGGAGAAGGCGAAGATGAAGATCTTGCTAATGCAGAACCATCGAGTGGTGACGTTGCAGCTGACGAGCTCGTCACTTCAGAAGCAGTCAATGCAGACGAAGTGCCTGTTGAAGGCAAAACGTCGTCAATCGAAGAGCAGGAAGCGGTCCCCGTCAACCAGGATGAGATCATGGAAGATAAAATCGACGAAAGAGAGCAGCAAGAATCCGGCGACAACGAAACAAAGGGGGATGATGGGACGCTGACTGCAGAGCAGCAAGAGGTTTCCGACCCAGTCAGCCAGGACGAGGATGTCGTTGAAGACAAACTTTCCAACGAGGAGAACAAAGATTCTTCCACCGCTGAACCTGTTGAGCAGAAAGACCCTCCAGCTGCTGAAGTCGGAGACGACAGTCAATCAGTTGAAGACCCTTCATCCACCGCTGAACCTGTTGAGCAGAATGACCCCCCTGCTGCTGAAGTCGGAGACGACAGTCAATCAGTTGAAGACCCTTCATCCACCGCTGAACGTGTTGAGCAGAAAGACCCTCCAGCTGCTGAAGTCGGAGACGACAGTGCACCACTAGGAACAAACAGAGAGACATCTGGCACTGGGCAGGATTCCAACAATTTGCAACCAAATTCGACCATCCCCGAAACGCCAGCGTCGCCCGCTGATGGGCCGGCAACGGAAGCAGAAGGAAGCGAAGTTGTCTCGGAACGCAATCAAATGGAAGCAACCGAGGAACCCAGTGTGCAAGATGCACCAATGGCATTGGATGCTGAGAACGACGAGCGTGAGCAGAGCAATGTTGTCGTGACTCAAGATTCAATGGAAGATGCAGAGAAGGCTGAAATCGAAACAACACCATCAGAACAAGTTTCTGGGGCCGAGGCTGCCGAAGTGGAAATTCTCTCCGAAGAGGCGGATGTGGCGGAAAGAGATCCACCGACAGCAAATGCGAAAGATGGTGATATCGATAACGATGATGAAGTAGGGGAGATGGATGTGGACAACGGCAGTGTCTCTCAGAATCATGGGGAGCCCGAGCGTGGAGATGATGATGATGTGGAAGAAGATTCGTCGGCAAGAGCCGACAAGGACAACTCCGCCTCAACAGTAGAAGCAACACAAGAAGCTGGTGAGCAATCCGACGAGTCGTCGCCAGCCAAGAAGGAAGAGACTACTGCGACATCCAAGGCCGATCCAGCCGGGGAGAAGGATTCTGATGACGATTCAGTAGAGGAAGGAGCGGGCGAACGAGACCCCAACTACAATGCGCCCAGTGATGCCCCTGCTGCTGATGAGAGTAAGGGTGATGATGATGCAATGGATGTCGATGTTGCGCCGGTGGAAGGTACGTCAACACGAGGCGAACCAGACCCAAGCGATGCCCCTGCTGCTGGTGAGATCCGCAGTGATGACGGCCACGGCAACAACAAATCGACATCCCGACGTGACCCACCCGACGGAGCCGAAGAATCAGTGTATTTAGTCGAGCAAGAGGTTGCGAAAACAAAGGAGACGGACGCTGAAAAAGCACTCCCTGATGATGGAGGGGAGGATATGAATGCAACCCGTGACGTCGAGGAAGCTGACACCGAGCAACCGGTTGCGGACAACGAAGCAAACGCCGCTGACGTTGTTGATATTGATGAAATCGAAGCTGAACATACAAAGCATAAGTCAGTCGACGCGAAAGAGCAAGAGATTGACGAACAAGCCCCAACGGACAACGAAGCAAACACCGCGGAAACTGAAGGTATGCAGGAGAAGGAAAGTGACAAACCAACAGAGGACGAAGGCCAAAAGGAGGAACAAGAAGATCCTGAAAGCTCACCTTTGAACAAAGATCGTACAATTGCTGATTTGGCTGCGAGTCCTGAAAAGCCTGGTGCAGCTCATGCTACGCCTTCAATGCAACTGAAGAGGGGCGATACGGTCGACTCTACCAACACGCTTCGGGGAAAGCAAATTCACGTGCCTGTTCTTGGTGTTGCCTCGCCAATGTCTTCCGTTGCCACCAGTGCGGATGGGAGTTCGATGCGGTCTCCTCCAAGGCTGCCATCTGGATTTGGTCCCCATGATGCAAATGCGGAGGCACCTGAAGAAAAGCAAAGCTCAGACGTACCCCACACGGCGAAGAAGAGTAATCGCACTCAGTTGCGCGTGGACAGTCAGCACGATGAAGAGAACTCTGTGGCAAAGGAGGCCGCCGGCTCGTCAACGCCGAAACAAGACCCACCTGAGCTTGGCAATGACGAAGAGCTCCCAGCTGATGAATCCGAACAAGAAGTCGAGACGGAGAAACCCGAAACGAAAACGAGCTCTAAAGATGAGGTCAAGTCGGAAAAGGACGATGCAAGCGCCAAAATGGAAATCGAAACGGACGCAAAACCTCGCGAAGCGGGACGGCACAGGGCTGAGTCTGTGAGTGATTTAGAATCAGATGCAGCAGGTAGTGATGCAGAGAGCAGTTTGCAAGAAGACGACGACCCACCAACCACGCGTAAAGCAGCAGCGAGATCAACACGTTCCAAGAAAAATGACCCGGCACGAAAAGGAACCAGATCGGCCAAACGATTCCGCAAAATCAGCGAGGGAAAGGAACCGGATAGCCCTGGGGAAGACGAGAGTGAAGAGAAACCGCCTTCTCGTCCCAAACGCAAACAGATCAGCGAAGAAAAAACGCGGGAGAAATCAGATGATGAAGGCCCTTCGACAACACGAGCAACCCCTCAGGATGCACCGGGCATGCGCCGCACAACCAGGGCACGCGGGAAAACTGCCAAGGCCGACAACGCTGAGACTGAAGGCGACGAGCAGAGTGTCGCTAGGCGTTCGAAAAGGACACGACGCACAGCAAAGGCAGAAGAGGCGAAAGAAGATGATGAGGACGAAGGCAGCATTGTGGCTTCCACGACCAGCCGGGGCTCACGCACTCGTCGCATGTCTCAACGCACAGCAAAGGCAGAAACCAAAGATGAGGATGATGACGACGACGAAGGCAGCATTGCGGCTTCCATGACCAGCCGGGGCTCACGTACTCGTCGCATTTCTCGACGCACAGCAAAGACAGAAACCAAAGATGAGGATGACGACGACGAAGGCAGCATTGTGGCTTCCACGACCAGCCGGGGCTCACGTACTCGTCGCATTTCTCGACGCACAGCAAAGGCAGAAACCGAAGATGAGGATGATGTTAGCGTTGCAGCTTCGGCTACAGGAAGCCGTCGAGCAGCACGAGAAGTAAGGCAAAGTCAAAAGGTGACGAAGATGAAGTTAGCGTTGCAGCTTCGGCTACAGGAAGCCGTCGATCCGCGAGAAGTAAGGCAAAGTCAAAAGGAGACGAAGATGAAGTGAGTGTTGCAGATTCTGCTGCAGGAAGCCGTCGATCCACGAGAAGCAAGGCAAAGGCCAAAGGAGAAGAAGGTGAAGTTAGCGTTGCAGCTTCGGCTACAGGAAGCCGCCGAGCCACGAGAAGCAAGGCAAAGTCGTCTGAGGATGACGAAGGCAGCGTTGCCAGCAGGAGCACGCGGAGGTCAGCAAAGAAAGACAAGGAAGAGCCGCAGACAACACAACGTCCTACACGTTCCCGGAAGCGCACAGATGGCGACGATGAGGATGGAGATGATGGATCCGTCACGTCGAAGGGCTCCTCCGCTTCCAGGAAGAAACGGGCAAAGGCAGCGGCAAGTTCGAACGCCACCGATACGTTGGCCCCCATCCCCGAGGACAACCCCTTGACGAGCCCTACCAAACCCAAACCCAAAACAGGTATTAAGCGGAAAACCGAGGAGTCCAAGACAAAAACGAAATCCCGTGGTAAGACGGCTCCAGCAGCGACGGCAGATTCAGATGATGACTCGGATGACGATGACGAACCAATCGCCGTGATTAAACGAAGAAAGGCCGAAAGCGACACAGAGAGCGAAAAGTCGGCACGAAAGCCAAAAGCCACCACTAGGACCCGCGCGAAAGCAGCGACCAAAGCTGACAAAGAGACTACTGGGACTCCCGCGTCGGCTGCGTCGCGACGCAGCAAAAGGACTACGCGCCAGACGAAGAAATAAATTTTGATTTCTAGTAGCATAATATGGGAAAACGACTCGACTCAAGAACAACTACAGTAACTGAGTTTCTTCGTTCTCTTTGTCCACTTCGCTCAAAAGACTCTTTGTGGTTGCCTCCTCATCAACTTCTTCAATTGAGTGCTTCCACTGCTCTCGAGCCTTGCCCACTCACCCACCCCTGAAAGTGCAAATACCGGTACTAGCTAGTACCTGGACCCGGTACTGGTACGTGATGTAAAGGTTGATGACGATGTGGACGCTCCAGCAAACAAATTTCATTCACTGGTTTGAGCCATTCCCGGTCTGAGAAAGTGCAACGTCACAACGTCACAGAAGCAAAGATACCCTCGACGTCGTCCGCCCCTTGACGTCCAAGAATGATTTGGTTGCGTTTTGTTGATGGCTCCGCTGTTGCAGCCATCAACATAAAAGATTCCGTGGCACTCCTGTAATCGTTGGTGTAGGCACCAAAGAATAGAATCATTCCAACACACCATCTTCTCACAATCTCTGTGTGTCCAAGGAAAAATAGAATACAAATAATTTTCCAAGATGAAGTTTGCTATCTCCCTGTTGAAAATTGCTGCCTTGGCGACGACGGTGTCGGCTTTCACCTCCCAAAACTCTTTTTTGGGCAGGGCGGTGAGGTACGAATGTGCGAGGTGACCGAGAACGATGGTGACGGATGCAACCCTGAAAATTTCTTTCTTACTTTCTCTTTTCTCTCTCTACTTTTCTCCTATTATGTGTTTCTTTGACACTCAGGCCTGCCGTGAGCACCCCAGCTCGTTCGTCCTCCAACTCTGAACTCTGCATGAAATACACGTTGGTGTTGGTTCGTCACGGAGAATCCACTTGGAACAACGAAAATAAATTCACTGGCTGGTATGACTGTCCTCTTTCCGAGAAGGGAGAGGGAGAAGCCCGAGAGGGTGGACGCCTCTTGAAGGAACAAGGGTTCACTTTTGACAAAGCCTACACTTCCACTTTGAAGCGTGCCATCAAGACCCTTTGGTTGTGCTTGGAAGAATTGGATTTGATGTACATTCCTATTATCAACAACTGGAGGTAGGTTCCTTGTTTTTTGAACTTGCAGCGCAAAACACATTATTGCGATTTTCTGTCTCAACTTAGATTGGCTTTCTTTGGTGCATTGATAAAGGTTGAATGAACGCCACTATGGTGAGTTGAAATCGCGACTAAACAAATTGAAAAAGTCTTTCCTGCATATTAATTAACTCTCCAACTGAAATGAACAACCTACTTATTAAACAGGGGGACTCCAGGGACTCAACAAACAGGAAACCGTGGATAAACATGGAAAGGACCAAGTCTTGATCTGGAGACGTTCCTACGATATTCCCCCTCCTCCTTGTGAGGAAAGCTCGGTGCACTACCCTGGAAATGATCCAATGTACAGACTGGTAGCTAATGAAGATCTTCCTTTCACCGAATCATTGAAAATGACTGAAGAGCGTTTCTTGGTCGAGTGGAGCGCTATTTTGGCTCCTGAAATCTTGCACGGTGAAAAGCTTTTGATCGCTGCGCACGGAAACACCCTTCGCGCCCTGGTGAAGCACTTGGATGACATTAGCGCCGACGAAATTTGTGAATTGAACATTCCTACTGGTGTTCCTCTGGTCTACGAACTGGACGAAAACTTGAAGCCTATCCCACACCCAGATGCTATTGCTCCTCTCAAGGGACGTTACCTTGGCAACCAAGCCGCTATCAAGGAACGAATTGGAGCCGTGGCAGCCCAGACCAAATAGAGTGCATCAATCCGAGCCTTTAGGCTGGTGGCAGTTGGCAGTTCACCCAAAGTCAATAGGGCTCAAAATACGTAGCAGTAACTGGAGCTAACTACTTCTCGAGCCGTTTCAACAATACCTCTACTATGATCTACTAAATAGGCTGGAGCAGGCAGACCAGAGCTACTAGTACTGTGGTTTCGATGAACGTTCTGCCGTGCATGTTGCTTGTGCATTCCTCTGGCTCCTGGAAGAGATCTGCTGAGGACTTCCACCGAAAGTTGCGACAAGCCCGTGCGTGTTTCTTGTGCGCTCCTATCCTCTGGCTGGCTGCAATGCAGAGAGCCAAAAGCGAGAAAGAGATCTGCCGACTTCCAAAAGTTGGGAAAGCCGCTCGAGCAGCTTGGCTTGGAATGCGTTAGAACTTGCCATTCATCGTGTGCATCTTTGATGATACAGGTAGCCTGGGTTGTTGGGGTACGGACGACTGTGGATGTGTCCTCTTGAGCTCTTGAGTCTTCTCTCGGCCGCCAAGACATGTAAAACCGAGCTTTAGTCCTCTCATGATTGACCTCAGAGCTGGGGCGTATCCGGTACCCGTGCATGCTCTGCCGTACCAATACTGTAGCACTCGTACAATGGTACCGGTACCAGCGGCCAGTGGCGAAGACAATTGAGTCATTATTGTAGTTCCCTTTCTGTCACCAGGGATGAATTCTACTGAGTTTCTACTGAGTCTCTACTGAGTCATTGATAGTTGTATTCGGATGAATGTCTTCTCATAATTCCTTATTCACTGGAGGACTTCATTCAGCGCAATGACTTTTCCTCAGTCAAAAAGTTGCTTGAGCCAACAACCCTTCTCAACAAGTCCGCCTCGACCACATCAACCTTCTCGACAATCGACTACCGAGTACGAGCGTTGTCCCCGGGCCATTGCATTGATCGCCCAAGCTCCGTTTGCCCACTGGCACACAATTCATTTGTATTCCATTCCATCGACTTCGCCGCCGGTTCCATCCGCTTAGTCCTTTTCGCTTGAGAAGTTTGTCGCGTTTGGAACACACAGGACCTACTAGCTAGTGCAGCAGCTACCGTATTCCAGCCATCATCCATCAATAGTCAAGGTCCCTTTCTCATAATCTACATCCACAAAAACACAGCAATACAAACCATTCCAAGGAACCCAGCAACAAATACTCATCTCACACACATCACAAATAAATAAATCTGCAGAAAAATGGGTCGCATCACCATCTTCGCTTTGGACGAATGTCCTCATTGCCAACGCGCCAAGGGTGCTTTCAAAGAACGAGGAATCCCTTACACCGAGATCAGTCTCTCGTCCCATCCACACCGCAGAACAGACATGTTGGCATTGAGCGACCGGCTGACTGTGCCTCAGATCTTTTTGAATGAAAAACACATTGGAGGGGCTGATGACACACTCGAGCTCTTGAAGGAATGGGACAACAACTGCAATGGCGATCCGACCTCGGTCACAGATGACAACGAGACATCATTGACTCCTCTGCAGCGCTACACGGCAACCATTGCATCACAGCCTGATCCTTCCGACGAACGTCTCCGTATTTCAACGGAACCACCGGTTGTCGTCAAGCCACCCCCGCCTCGTCTCGAGTCTGACAAAATCGAGCTCCCCAATGGAACATTCATGAGTGTCTTGGAGGTCACGGAAAAATTGAAACAGTGCCTTCCTCATGACGACATGCCGTATCTCATGAAGATTTACACCAATTGCTTCACTGGAGCTGCGGCCGTCAAGGCAATGACAAAGTCTTTTGACGATTGTTCTGTCGAAAAAGCCGTGGCTTTCGGGAAACGATTACAAGAGCGACAAATGCTGCACCATGTGGTCTACGATCATGACTTTGAAGATACGGGCGATTACTACTTTCGCTTGCAGTGCCATCAGCAGCCCGATATCCTCAACAGCTATCGCATTTGGACACAACCCGCGGACGAGGATGTCGTCGCCTTGATTACACGGCTCAAGAAACTACTCGGAAAGGTCGAGAGCAGTGTCACCAACTCACAGGGTCTAGTGGATTACAAGGCCGCTTGCAATCACGAGCTCTTTCCCGTGTTCGAAGAAGCATTCTGTGAATTGCAAACCGTGGACCTCTCCAAGTTGGATCGTACAACAAAGGTGGCATTCGCCATCAATCTGTACAATGTGGCAATTAAATTTGCCTTTATGAAGGTCGGCATTGGGTCATCCAGTATGAGCCGGTCTGCCTTCTTCACCACAATCAAATTCAATGTGGGAGGACACTTGTATTCATTTCAGGATTTGGAGAATGGTATTCTTCGGGGCAATGCTCGAGCCCCCTACGCCTTGTCCACGCCCATCTCCAAGTCTGATCCTCGTCACGCCTTTGTCCTCAAGCCAGAGGATGTGGACTGCAGGATTCACTTCGCCTTAAATTGCGGCGCTACGTCGTGCCCTCCAGTGAAAAGCTTTACAGCAGAAGGGATTGAAGAAGAACTGCGCATTGTGGCAGAAGCTTTTTGCGAAGACGACAGCAATGTTCGGGTGGATACGATCCACCGCAAAATCTACTTGAACAAGATTTTGAGCTGGTACATGGTGGACTTTGCCAGCAGTGAGGAGGAGCTGCCACACAAAGTTGTGGAATTTTTGCGTGGCTCCAAGAAGATCCAATTGCAAAATATGCTCATGGTGGAGAGTTCCAAGGGAGTTTCGGTCAAGTTCATGAACTATGATTGGTCCACCAATGCCTGTGATGCTTTGGCGTTTGATGCTGGCAACTTGAAACCAGATTACTACAGTGTCAATGCCGCAGCCAAGGCCATTTGGTAACACTTATTTACTTTTCCTGGGCCATCACAAAAACGCAAACACACACGGTGCAACGGGAACTGCTTTTGTTATTTTCATGTCCACATCAGATGATACATACATTCATTCATTCATTAACCACTAAAAGGAAACCGGTCTTCCAAATCTTATCAAGCTTGTACAAGCTACCGGTAGCTAGAGTACAGTGTACTGTAGCCGAAGAGAGTTCCGCCGTGTGCAACATACGTTCTCTTCATGAGAATGAAGGGAACGTGACCGAAGGGACTGCCAAAACCATTTGCACCCCAGCTTAGCAGGCTAAATCCAAAACTGCCTGGGAAAAATCTAAAGAAATCGTTTTTCGAGATGGGATCAGCCGAGCCGCAAAGCCAACAAACTCTCTGGCGGTCATATCGCTGCATCTGACCATGGGACGCATCACTGTGTTTGCTCTGGAGGAATGCCCTCATTGCAGGAGGGCCAAAAGCGCTCTGAAAGAGCGTTCAATTCCCTACGTTGAGGTCTCCTTGACGACTCACCCCAATCGCCGGTCTGACATGATTAGTCTCAGCGATAGACTTTCTGTGCCTCAGGTATTCTTCAACGAACAGCACGTTGGTGGTGCTGACGACACGCTCCAGCTATTGGCCGAGTGGGACAAGGACACATCAAAGACTCCTCAACAGAAATACCAAGACGAGATTGCTGCCCAGCCGGATCCTGCAGATGCCAGATTGAAGGAATCCACGGATCCTCCCGTGGTACCCAAGGAACCACTACCACGAGATGCAGCGGATAATATCCAGTTGCCTGATGGATCTACTATTACTGTCTTGGATCTGGTCGAGAAGAAATTAAAGCCAATCTTGTCGGGCCAACGAAAATCTACCCTGTTTTTGACAACCTACAAACACACCTTTACCGGTGCCGAGGCAGTCCAGGCACTCGCCAAAGAATTCAATTGCAAGGAAACGGAGGCTGTGGATTTTGGAAAAGTTTTGATGGAACGAGAAATCATCCAGCCGGTAGGAGGACATGCCAAGGAATTCAAAGAGTCACCCACTCATTTGCTGCGACTGCAATGCTACCATACGCCCCACATTTTGAATTCGTATCGCGTCTGGAACACACGGGTCGATCCAGATGCCATGGCAGTCATTACTCGTCTCAAAAAGCTGTTGGGAAAGGTGGAATCTGCAGTGACAAACGACGAAGGATTGGTACACTACATTCAGGCGACGCAGCATGAACACTATCCCATCTTTGAAGAAGCAGTCTGCGAGCTTCAGGGCATGGACTTGGCAAAGCTGGATCGCAATGCTATGATTGCTTTTGGAATCAATGCCTATAATGTGTTCATCAAGTATGCGTTTATAAAGGTCCGTCATCGCGACATCTCATCTAGCAAAGGCGTCAATGCTGGCGAAGCTATGAAATCTTACTTCCTTCTTGTATTCGTGGCCAGGTTGGAATCTACAACGATCCCTTTGCGTTGTTGGCCTACTTTTTCCAAATCAAATTCGATATTGGTGGTCACCTCTTTGGGTTTCACGATCTAGAAAGCGGGATACTGCGAGGTACGATGGGTTGGTTGCTGTTTTCTTTGGAAGCCTTTTCGTGATCTAACTGATGTAAAATTGCAGGCAATCGCAATGCTCCCTATGCCCTGTCTCCTCCCATTCCCAAGAACGATCCTCGGTTGGCATTCATGGTGCAAGATGTGGACAATCGCATCCATTTCGGCCTCAATTGCGGAGCGCGCAGTTGTCCCCCAGGGTGAGTTGCATTCAAGTTTGTCCTATCCTTCTGATTATACTGAGCTCATCATCCATCCTATTCTCCTCATCTGAAGTTTGTCATATCCTCCGGATTATTGTGAGCTTATCATCATCTATCCTATTCTTCTCACCTTGTATCTTTCATGATGTAGTGAAGAGCTTCACGGCCGAAGGTATTGAAGAAGAATTGAGGATTGTGGCAATGTCGTTTGCTGAAGATGACGACAACGTGCATGTGGACAGTGACAAGCGCATCTTGAGCTTCTCACAGATTATCAATTGGTACCGAATAGATTTTGCTCCCTCCAACAAGGAGCTTCCGCAGACCATCGTCCAATTCTTGAGAGGTGACAAGAAGGACAAGCTACAGGATATGATTGATGATGGCAAGCGCATCAAGATCAAGTTCTTGCCGTATGATTGGACAACAAACGCCCAAAAAGATGGCTTTCTGCCATTCAAAAAAGCCAACATACAGTAGATAGCTTTATTAGGTTAGATTACAGCAAATAGGATGAGTAGCCAGCTCTACATCTGCAAGGTCGTAGGTCGGGCAAGAGGTTGATTCTCCCTGGGCTTTGGCTAGATCACCGAGACGAGCTCATGTACATGTAGTCAAATCTGGATAAAACAGCCCATGGGGATGGCAATGCAAGGTGGAATCGAATCAATCTGTAGCCTAGCTAGACTATTAGTAGCTTGCTCGACTCGACTCGACTCTGGTGGGTGGTACCTGGTACCATGTACTCTACTCACCTCTGAAAGCAGGCCGCCTCGTCCTTGGGAAGGATGCAGGAAAAGGGTTCTGGAAATGAATCGATTCGATTCGAATCAGCTATCAAATCTCAATCGAACGGTACTGGTACTACCGCGCTGTGTATGTGCGAATGTGCGAATAGGAATGACTGAAGAGCTCTGAAGAGGTGATACGAACGCATCATTAGTTAATGCGATCGTACAAGGTACAATGAGGATTTAAAGGATCTAGTCAGAGATTCGATCAATAAACCTCAAAGTCTCTATTGAACCATGATTGGGAAGCCCAATGACCTTATTAAGCTTTTTGTGATATAAAGAATAATCCATGGGTTCTTCTTGTTCAAAAAGTAGCGATTCTACTGCGCCCTGGGTCATTGACAGCAACAAGGAGATTTAATAGTCGTGGCTTTACTCCAGTGGAAAATAAATATACTATTTACTGGTACACTGGTACTATTAATAGTGCTCAGTACTCTATAGAGTACCGGTACTCCAGTACACGAGAACTCCTGGGACTCCCACTCAGTAGTTATTAATACATGTAATTCTTAATACTAGAGAAGTACCTGGTTACCTGGTACCAGGTAGAGGCCGGCCTAGCCATACATGTAGCTACAAATGTAGCTACAAGTCCGTAGCAAGCCAATAATATGAAGGCGCGATACCGCTACAATGTACACGTAGTACTACTAGCTAGTAAACGATAAGGGCATTCCCGGCGAGATTGGACATCTTTGTCGCGGTACATGCGCTACTATGCATAGTACATACCGGTACGTACATATATGTCATCCGTGGATTAGCTACTACAGTATGACTTGTAGTACATACATGCACCACTGCACCGCATGCATCTTCCATCAGCGATTGGTACCAAGCACAGCAACAGCAACACTGCTCAAGCAGACAAAAATCACCCGCAGCGAAGGCCGCTCGAGAAGTGTGTGATTAGACCCGTATTTGCTGGCTGTCGAAGGAACAGGAGAGAAGACCAGGGAGGACCAAGGAGAAGCACTGCTCTTTCAGATACCCTACCCTCGTCTCATTATCTCGTCTCTATCCCTTAGAGCACATCCATCAAGAAGCCTAACCTTGTAGATCGTTACCATGGGCCGGTTAACTCTCTTTTCTGTGGATGATTGTGTGCATTGCGTCCGTTTGACGCAAGCGCTGAAGGACCACGAGATACCCTACACAGAGATCTCGTTGGCCACGCATCCCCATCGACGCCCCGACATGCTGAGCATCACGGATCGCTTGACGGTACCTCAAGTGTTCTTCAACGAGACTCACATTGGTGGAGCTGACGATACCTTCAAGGTACTGGAGAAGTGGTATCACATGGACCCAAGCAAATCGATCAGAGCTCAGTTTCACGAACTCGTCGCAGCGCAACCAGATCCCACGGATCCTCGTCTGGCACCCTCTACGGATGCTCCTGCCCAACCATCCAAGGCACCCACCAGGCCCCAAACAGACAAGCTCAAGTTACCCGACGGATCGTATTCCAGTGTTATCTCGGTCATGGAAAAACTCAAGAAGATTCTACCCTGTTCCTCCTGCAAGAGCAAACGCGTCATTTACAAACGCAGCTTTACGGGGGAGGAAGCGACCAAGGTATTCTTGAAAGACTTCAAACAAATCACCACGGAAGAGGAAGCGATTCGGTTTGGAGAGTACCTGCGACGGGCATCGATTCTGCATTCTCTCGTCGACGATACCACCGAATTCACTGCTTCGCACAAAACAATCTACCGACTTCAGTGCTTTATGACACCCAACATTCTCAACACATATCGAGTCTGGAACACGGTCGTGGACCACGATTACATGGCCATTCTAGGACGGCTCAAAGTCATGCTGGACAAGGTCGAAAAGGACAGCAACAGCAAAACCAACAGCAAGAGTATGACAAGCAAGAGTATGGCAGTCTTTGAAGAAGCCGTTTGTGAACTTCAACGAGTCGATCTCTCCCAACTGGATACCCCTTCCTCGCTCAAAGCATTCGGCATTAACGTGTACAATCTCATGATCAAATACGCCTTCTTTCGAGTTGGCATTGGGTCGTCGTCACGGGCACGCAGTGCTTTCTTCAATGGAGTCAAGTTCCAAATTGGATCCGAAGTCTTCAGCTTTCAAGATTGGGAGCACGGCTTGCTTCGTGCCAATCGAAAGGCACCCTACAGTATGAAGCACCAGTTTGGGCGCAAAGATCCAAGACTGGCCATGGCATTGCCCAATGTCGACTGTCGACTCCATTTCGCCCTAAATTGCGGCGCAAAGAGTTGTCCCCCTCAGCGAACGTTTACGGCTGATGGCGTTGAAGAAGAATTGCGCATCGTGTCAATGGCGTTCTGTGAAGACGACAGCAATGTGGAGATTGATGCCAAGCGGCGGATACTCTATCTCAACAAGATTATGAGTTGGTATCGAGTGGATTTCTGTGATTCGGAAAAGGAGCTGCCTGGCAAGTTGCTCGAGTACTTGCGGGGAGAAAAACGAGAAACACTGGAACGACTGCTGCAGAGTCGAAAGCCCATTACAGTGTCCTACAAAACGTACGATTGGAGCAACGATGGTGACTTTGCTGCCTTTGACAGTGCCGTTCTAAGAGCCGATGTTCAGCGGTTGATGGGGTCATTGAAGTTCAAAATCAAGAGAAAGAAGAGCAATGTCGGCTTGCCTGTGCTGGGAGAATCAACAGAGAGATCATGTACAGAACGTTCCTCCGGTGAAATCGCATCGTCCCTCTTAACGCCTTGTTTTAATTGAATTGAACTAAACTATTGTTGTATACTAGTGACCATCATACTCTGTCCTTGCTACCGGTGCGATCGGTTGCTTTCAATTACTACAAAGTTGTCCGCCGTAGCCGGGTCGCAGCCGTCTTTTAGGATGTATACTTATACAGCTATGCAGTGCACTTTGGTGTGCTACCGAGGATGGATGCAGAACAAAACAAGGCTGGGCACTGTCACGGGCAGGCGGGGTAGCCATCGACCCCTAAATAATCATACCGGTAGCGCTGCATCGTGTTGGAAATCTTGCGCTTCCCATTGATCAAACTCTGGCAACGAGTGAGTCGTCGCTTCGAATCTACAAAGACACAATCCAGCCATCGCTGTCCTCCATAATGATTTCTTCGTGGATCGGTACGGCGACTTCGGCATAATTGACAGTGCTTGATGCATTCGTTGGATCCCCACCCCGTCCCACTTCCGAACTTGCTGCGCTGGCCTCGTGGATTGCCTTGCTCTTCTTGCCTTTCCTCGAAGACGTCCCCTTCTTTGCCTGTTTGGCCTCCTTGGCCGCTACTTTTGCTGCTTCTTTCTCTATCTTTTTGGCCTCCTTAGCCGCTGCCTTTGCCGCGATAATAGCTGCCTTAGCTGCTTCTTTCTCTGCCTTTTTGGCCTCCTTGGCCGCTTCTTTTGCTGCGTCCCTAGCTGCCTTTGCTGCCTCTTTCTCTGCCCTTTTGGCCGCTGCTTTTGCTGCGATATNNNTCTTTCTCCGCCGTTTTGACCAGCTTGGCCGCTCCTCCCTCCACGGAATTTGATGCTGCCTTAATCTCTTTTTTTGCTGCAGCTTTAGCGGCTTCGGCCGCAGCCTGGGCTTCAGCTTTGGCTTTCTTCCTCTGTATTCCCTTGCCATACACCTTTTCCATGGCAGCTGCCAACACGTCAGGATCCATTACAACGGGTTCCGGGCGGTCGTTGATAGACAGGAAGGCCGTATCGGAAAGGCGGATGTTGCATTTGTTGTTTGGATCCTTCTCCACATACCCTTCCTGGACCAGGTTTCGCAAGCTATAAGAAAAGTTGTGTCCACCGTCGTGGATCCCAATCACAGCGGCAAGTTGTTTTCTCTGGCACGAACCATGTTTCAAGAGCAGGTCAAATATTTCAATTCCTCTGCCACCGTGGCCCTGGCAAACGACCTTCTTTATTCGTTCGTGGAGTTGCTCATTCGTCGTGGCTGGGGTGCTCAACGAAGCATGGAATTCCTTTTCTTCCGGCGTCATCAAGTGTTCCAAACCCTTCTCGGTCAACCTAAAGTCGGACGTAAACAATGTAGCACCGCTGGATTCAGCAAAGATGAGGCCATCATCGAACAGGGCTTTCCAGGCATTCTCCCACGTGTCGCTCGTCTTGCGTCCCTTCATTACATCTGCAAACGAAGCACTGGGGCTCTTTGGTTGCATGTGGATCTTTTTCATCTTGGCCAGGATTATGTCGGTTGGAGCTCCACTGCAGGGTTTATTCTTTTTCGCTGCTCCCTTCATGCGCTTGGCAGCGGATCCTTCGTTGGCCGTGCCCTCCTTCTTCCTCTTCTTCGATGAAACCTCTACAGCCGTGTGTTCTTGGTTCATGATTTCAACCAGAGTAATTCTGTTCTTCCTTGGGGCTGCCTTCTTGGGCTTGGCGTCGACTTCTTTCGTACTCTTCTTCGATGGAGCATCGCCTTCATCGCCCTTAGCTTTCGCGTTGGAGGCCGTGGCCTTGCGCTTCTGCCTAACCTTGGCCATGACCAGTTGTTTGTGTTGTGTTGACAGAAAGTGTCCGCTGCGGAAGTGCTTGAGAAAAGATTCTGAATTCTGAAGGAAAGGCTGTCAGTCAATCAATCAGCCTCGACGGTTGAGTGATTGTTTGCACGGATCGCCTCAATGTTCAACGCAGCTCCACGTCTAATGGATGCTAATAGACTGCAGACAAAGAACCGCAAAGACTTGGCGACAACTTGTGCTTGGCAACCATTTGGTTTCCTTGTCGCCGCGTCTCTTGTCGTTGATGCTTCTTGCCTTCTTGCCCAATGGTCTTGGCAAAAAGATCCAAAAACGATCTAAGTCTCTTATTCCCGCACATTTCAAAAAAAAGCATTATTGTCATTTAGCGCATGGGCCGCAATACCACACCTCGTCTGATTAGCAACCTAAAGTAGCGCACCGACGTAATACCTCCATCAGTACCAGTGTAGACTATCAATACGAAGCTTCGCCAAAGACACCGAACAAATGGTTTGTGAATGACAACGTTAGCTAGTATGGTGCTATACCGGTAGAGTTATTACGCCGATGGTGATGCCGGACTACTAAAGGATATGCCAGACACATTCGAAATGTCATCCAACAGGAGAGTCCCTTCGGATCCATCTATATCTGTATCCCCCTCCAACAGAGCGGAACTCCCCCGGATCCGCACAGCCATCTTCGGAATACAGTCCTGTCGGGAAGGCACCACAGGCGGAGACCGCGACCCTGCTCCAGCCCCGAGTCGTCGTGATCTGCTCGGTAACCATCGACCCACCCCACTGGCTTGTGATGAGCACATGGAACTTCCTCCTTCAACAGACGAAGCGTCCTTGCCGGACGAGGGGTCCTTGTCACTGCGAGTGGACGCAACCGGCTGCCTACTACATGTAGGGTGAGCCGTGCTGCGGACGCACTTTTGAAACTTCTTCACGTTGGGCACCAAGCAGGCCGCATCAAACACGACAAAGTCGCTCACTCCCAACGTCCAATCTTCGGCACCACTGGACATCTTCATGGTCTGATGATTCATCAGATACCGTTCCAGTCTGGCGCGACGAGGCCCAAAGAGGAAGTGTACCACCACTTGAGGAACCGATGAACCCGACTTACCGATAAAGTCGGACTTGTATCGTCGAAAGACTTGTGCCAGACGCATTTTGCTTTCGCAAATGTTGAAGGCCACATTGTCATCATCTTCACAAAACGCTTGTGTGACAAAGGCCAATTCCTCCTCAATGCCAGCAGCAGTGAACGTCTTGACGGGGGAACTTCTTCGCGACCGTGACCAACAGTGAATTCCAAAATGGATTCGACAATCTCTGGGAAATTTGCCAGTGACTGCCAATCGAGGATCCTTTTTGCCAAAGGCATGAGTCTTTGTGACGGGCGACTTGCTATTCCCCCGCAAGACTCCATCCACCCATTCCTGAAGCGAAAAGGTGAAACCACCTACTTGAAACTTTACTTGCTCAAACATTTTTGAACGGGAGCTCTCTGATGTGGGGATACCGACTTTCATGAACGAGTATTTCAGCATGAGGTTGAAGACATTCAGCGCAAACGCCTGTGTTGGAGCAGAGAACGCGAGTTAGCTCAGATACACTTGACACACAAGTAGGAACCGTACGTTGCAGCATCTAGCCACGGTACGGTATCTTACCATCATGGCAGGTCCTTCCAGTAAGGACAGATCTACTCGTTGTAGCTCACAGACGGCATCTTCAAACAAGGGATAGTCCGAGCACATGAAGGCGATCCTGTAGTTAAAAGTGCCTTCTTCTGTGATGATGGTGGCAAGAATCTTTCCAAAGATGTTGAGGATTCTGTGAAGTGCTTCTTCCGGATGCGGCGACGCTTGGACCGGCCACGTTCGGTAGGAATTCAGAATGTCTGGATTGTGAAAGCATTGCAACCTCCAAAAATGTGCCGAGGTATCTTTGAATTGATGGTCGTTGCAACTGTGTATAAAAAAGAGTTAGAGATAGACAAGACGATGAGTGATGCTTGCCATTCTTTTAATGTATTTCTGCACCGTTTCTTGAGCTACTTACACATGATGCATAATGTGGTTTCGGTGCAGGAGCCTACCAAAGCATTCTGCTTCTCGTCTGGAAATGTCGTAATGCTGTGCAAACGAGTTGATTACTTCTTCTGCGGTACAGCAGTTCTTGTACGTGGTAAAGTTCCATCGTCTCTGTGAGTAGTCCAGTACTACTTTCTTGAGTAGTTCGGTAGTTTCCAAGACGGTCAGAAGAGATCCATCCGGTGTCATGATGCGGGTGGTATCCGTGCTGCTACCGAACGTACTACAGCTGCTGCCACTGCTGCCACATGCCGACAATGGACCCCCAACGGGAGTATCGTTGCACTGGCATTCGTCCTCTTCACACCAGGTCGAGTCTGTTTCGTCACCTTCATGCTCCTCCATGATGGGGACCATGAATCGGGGGTTGACTGCGGCGCTCCCATTAGACTTGCGGCCTACTGCACGCTCCAACGTCTCAAGCGGCGACTCCATAGAGTCCTCTGTGAAGGAGGAGTGCCGGACAATGCGGTTGGAAAAGTCCCGCAAGTATGCCAAAGAGGCGTCGACTCCTCCAATCCATTGACTGTGGATAAAGAGCTGCGGTACCGAGACTTTTCCCGTGAGCTGAAGCAAGTCCTTGCGCTTCTGAGGGAACTTGGAGAGGGAGATATCCGTGTAGGGTAGCCGACATTCTTCCAGCGTCGTTGTTACCTGCTTGCAGTAAGGACAGTCCTCAACGGTGAAGACAGTTACAGGCCCAACCATGGTGGAGGGTAGGATGCTACCGGTATGTGGATAACACAAAGATAATACCACAGCACGCGGTTTGCTGACTGCTTGGCTACGATAATAGGTACTGGTAGAAGCTCCGGTAGACCAGCGCAGCGATTTCGATTGGGGCAGTCGCGGCCGGTTCAAAGGAGATTTTGATGCCGTTCTGCCGCTGAGAACCCTGTCAGCAGAATCTGAGAATCTGATTGATTTGACTCGACTCGATTCAGACGGTCGCCAGAATGCTCAGTTAGAGCAGAAAGTTGCAGTAATTGCAGCGTTGCAGCAGTTCTCAACTTTCAAGACCCCTTAAAAGCCAGGGACACCCACCTTTCAGAGGGCACCCAATGGTCATTGGAGTGGTGCATACTCTAGTACTGTATACTGTATGCATGTTGCATGTACTCCTACAGCGAGTTCGTATGGAGTGAGGAGTGAGTATTGAGCAAAGATGCAAGATTCTCCTGGCTCCATGCGGTGGACCAAAAGACACAATCCCACCTCCAACAGTCCACAGATCTGTACAGTACCTGTGTACATGGTGGTTGAGCTGTGGTTGGTGTACAGTCGTACAGTCGTGGTCTTGAATCTTGAAGGGTGTTAGGGTGCCTCGCTGTTCGCTGTAAGGAGAGTGAGTACATGTATGTAGCAGATCAAAGATCGAAGTGCCAGTGGTATTAATACCGTACATGACAACATTGTAACGTGTAAGTAACAGAAAGCAGAACCCCACAACCCACAACATACCACATAAAGCTCCACATAAGTACCACGTACCACCCCTATAGCCTATAGCTCCAGCATCCACAACAATTATGTCTTTGGAAAGTCATTGGTCACATACATGTACATGCATGAACCAGATGAACTTTCGAGTTCCAGTGGTCATGGAAAGAAAGCAGAATGCTTAATGAACATGCGAGGTAGTCCACCTGGAAAAGCCACTGTACATACTCTGGACTCTGCAGTACTATTAGAGTACTGAGTACAGGTAGGCCATAACAATTGAGTTATAGGAAAACTAGCTCTTTAAATCCAAGTTTCACGCTGAGTTCGTGCTCTTCTGTCCAATCAACTCTGCCATCTGCCATACTGAGTACGACTGTACGAGTACAAGTTACTCCCTACTAGCTACTCGGTACTCGGTACTGCGTGTACTCCCTAAGTGGCTACAAAGATCCCAAAGAGGTCAGCTTTAGCTAAGAGGTAAGAGGTCAATTGAACGGAAACACCACACACAACACGAGTTCAGAGTCACAATCGGCGAACGGCTTTCTAGTTCGGAAAGAAGTATTAAATAATGTTGTTGAAAAGGTCATTGAAGGAAGATTTAGAGAGAACAATAATGTTGGATCCAGGACATTTATTTTGCGCAGAAATCGGAAAAGCCGTTTGAGCTGTTGGAGACACCTAATATACTAGCTAGTCTAGCTATCTGTTGGAAACACGGAGACACCTACTAGCTACCTGGTAGCTTGTAGCTACATGTAGCTAGAGCTAGCAAGAGTCGGAGAGACTTTTCTAAACAAGCTACCGGCGCCTGCGGCACCGGAAGGAGCATCCACTCGACTCTCCCTGTCCCTTTGGAAGCAAAGCTCATCTGGCTGCTGCTCAGTCCAGCGTTTGGATCCCAGTAGTCCTGAAAAGGTGAATGTTAGTAGTTTTCCATAGAGGATCCGCTGTACTAACCAGCGATAACACTACTGCAGGCAGCAAGCAAGCTTATTTTTGATTTTTCAGTTATGAATCAAACATTATCAACCCAGTGTTGACATCTTTCTTGGGAAAGGGGCCCTCAGATGGTTGCACAAAGCTAGTAACCTTTTCGGCCGCTTCATCCAGTATCTGTTCTTCTTCTTTTGATAGTAACCAATCCAATGAATCATAATTCGACTGAACTTGTCGAACTGTCCGGGCACCTGGAATTGGGATCGACCCCTTGGCCCGAGCCCAGTTGATGGCAACCTGTGCCTTGGTAGCGCTGCCATGTTGCGATCCCACCTGATCCATGACGGTTAACAAATTGGCAAAGTCCGGTGTATCCTGTAGCCGATCAAACAACTTTTTGCGGGGTCCTTTTGGAGGATTGTCGCGTGTGTACTTTCCCGTCAACATACCCAATCCCAGGGGAGAATACGAGAGCACCTGGACTCCCAGTTCTCGGCAAGTTTCCATCAGCCCATTTTGCAACGGATGTGTGTACAAAAGGCTCAGTTGGATTTGGTTGCTAGCCAGTGGTATTCCTCGCTTGGCCAATGCGGCATGACAGGCTCTTGTAGCATCCACACCATAGTTTGACACCCCCACGGCCTTCACCAATCCTCTTTCATAGGCTTCTGCCAGCCCATCCCAATACTCTTCATTGGACCAGGCGTTTGGGAAGTGTATCTGGTATAAGTCAATTGGTTGGCCTCCCAATCGCTTTTGAGAAGCTTCACATGCCTTGAGAACGTTTTCCGGCTTGGTTCTGGTGGGAAGTGCGGCAAACTTGGTGGCAATCTGAACCTGTTTGCCCTCTGGTATACTCTTGGAAAACTCGCCCAAGAGTGACTCTGAACGTCCAAAGCCATAGAGTTCAGCCGTATCAAACAAAGTGGTTGATGTCTTGGAGTTTGCCACGGCATAATCAAAGACTCGTTGGAGTTCCTGGTCTTCTTTCTTATCGTAACCCCAAAAGAAACTGTCTCCCCAAGCCCAGGCACCTAGACCTAGGGGAGGTAGTTTCAAGGTTGCAGCTGCATCGTCTGCTGCCAGCGCTGAAGAGGGCGTCCACAGACCAGCCGTAGCTGCAGTAGTACCAGCCGTAGCAGCTAAGAAGTCTCGGCGGGAGAAACCATCGTCCGCACCGACATCCTCCTTCGCCATGGAAACGCTGACACTGAACTCACACGTCTGTCTTCCATGGTTGGCGGCCAGTGGGTGGGTCAATCCAAACGCGGAAACCGACCATTTTGCAGCCGCTGCTGTGGCGACGAGGAACAACGAGGTGGACAACTTCATCAACCTGTCTTAGCTTTCGCACTGCTTTTGTTATATGTTTTGGGTTGTGGGCATGGACGGAATGCTGATGTTTTGGTTGACGCTCCCAATGACGCCATCAACCAAACAACAACAAAAAGATCGAAGATCTAAAGAAAAGGATGACGTCACACACTGTTACCTGAAGTCAAGTCGAGTCGAGTCGAGTCGAGTCAGTCGAGCGCAGCGTTTTCCAGGCAAACCCTCGATTTAGATCGCACCAGTAGCATACTAGTATCTCAAACCCGCCTCCCTCCTTTCGTCCTTGCAACTACCAACACTTTGCGCTCTCATTGAGCCGTATTGCAATCAATCATCTCGTGGTGCAACCATGTCCCACCTTCTTGTCGTCGAGCGCTTTGTAGTGCAAGATACATGGAACGAGGCAGACGATGTCGAACTGCGAGACTACCTCGAGTCATTGGGAGGGACCACCACCGTGGAATACTGGAGTGAAGGCCGTATTCTCCAGGGAGACATCGTGGAGTCGCCGAACACTATTGTTCAAAAGCTGCTACTGGTAGCATCGAGCGATGTGGTTTCATCATATCCACCCGAATTGAGTCGTTTCCTGAGCAAGTCACCTTGAAAGACCTGCAGATGGGAGCACGTCGACAAGAATTGCCATACTTTTGCAAGCTGGCCGGTTCCAACAAGCAAGTAGCAGCTCGCGTGGTTCGGTCGCGCCTTGACGAGAGCAAGTTCTGTGAACAAGTATGCTCGGTGTTGTTGTCATCCGACAATGATAACACTGAAAACGATGACAAGATCATTTTCTACGTGACGAGTGTTGTGGACTTTGTGAGCGAGTGGCGGCTCTTTTTGGGAGACGGCAAGGTGTGGGGTTGCCAAGAGTACAGCGAGTACATGGTAGGCCGTCGACTCAGCAACCATGATCATCGTGATGGAAGAAGAATGCTGGAAATCAAGGACGTGAAGGGAGGCGTCCCGCAAGATATTGTTGACTCGGTTCTTGCAGCGTCCAGCTCAATAGGCTTTGTAGTGGCAGACGTTGGCTTGACCTCAGAGGGAAAGTGGTGTCTTGTGGAGTGCAATCCACCGTTCGCTTTGAGCTCATACGGCTTGCCGGTTGATCTGTATGTGCAGTATTGCGTTGCCGCTTGGAAGAGCGTCCAAGCAGCTGTCCAAACTCAGAAAGAGGGGCGTAAGTACCGGTAGTACATGAACATGTACCGTAGCAGCCAGCCTACGGAAAAGAATACATGTAGAGCTGAAATTTGGAGTTCCATTATGATGTTCCAATAGATACTAATACCAATTTAAACGATCCGCCTCAAATGGCTTGCAGCAAGAATAGCTCTTTTGAAGAATATGTATTTCCAACCATCAGGCGCCTCTCTCACCGACCCACCAAAGAGAACTGGTCGTGGTCGTCTGTCGTGGAGAATGAGGTGGGCGTGGTGAGCTCGCGTGGATGGACTTGGTGCTTGTGAAACCGTTGACATCACCGACCATTCCCATCCATCATCCCAAACAAAAAGAGCAAACACCAAACACCAAACACCATGACGACTCGCCGCTATTCTGCTCCCTTCCACACACGGATAAAGAACACGATATCAGATGTAGCTGAGTGCTGTTATCGCCAAGGTCTTCGTGTGGTCAGACCCTTGCGGTATTGGAATTGGCTGTCTCTGCTGAGATTCGCCCACGCTACGCTGCTCCTGCACGGTTTTGCCGTCTTTTTCTTGACCAACCGACTGCTAAAGAACGATTCTACTCCGCCATACAGTGGCAGCAGTACTGTAGCGGCAGCAGGAGCTGCCAGTGGCAGTAGTATCATGTTCTTTCGAAGAATTCCCTGGCTCCGCCATTTGCCTCCCCGCAACCCCCACGACGCTTCATTACAGCTGAGTTGGTTCGCTTATTGCGTGATTGGTGGTGGATTTCCTTTCTATGCGGTGCGACATCCCAATCCAGCCACGGCAACTGGATTCTTCCGGGCATACCTTCATCCATCTGTCTATTGGGGATTTCTGGGTGTCTACAAAATAGTCTGGAGCACCTACCAAGCCGTCCGCGTAGCATCCTTTTTGACAGATCCACGCTCCACTGCCAGCAATTACAAATGGCTGTTTCTTCCTACCAAAACCATTCTGCCCTATATTCAGAGAGAACGTATTTTACAGTTACAAAATCTTCGTTACCAGCACCAATGGAGTATCATTCAAAAAGAATTGGATGATCCCATCAATCAACGCGAAATCAAAGCACTACGCATTGACAACCGATGGGTAGCCATGGGGCCTTTGGGGTCAGCCATTCAGGATATTCTGGATGAAGCCCGGGAACTTGTGCTGCTCAGACCCAATCAAGTCATTTCCTTCTTCGAACGTCTAGGAAGATCTTTCCATGCATTAGAGGAAATTTCTGTGGCCATGACCCTCTCCTTGCCCCTAGCAGCCATCAATCAACTCTTAGAATCGGCTCCTAATCTATCCTATTTGCGACTGGATGGAGTGGCATTTTCCGTGCATGATCTACAACCTGATTTGCTAGAGTTTGGAAGATCATTGCATGGGCTAGTCTGGCATTTGCAGGGTGATGGGGACAACAATAGCAACAACAACGGAAGGTCCTGTTTGGCACTCAAGACGTTGAAGTTGGAACACTGCCGATTGGAAAATGATGAACCCGATCCACAGCTTCGACAACGCTACAGTATGGATCTATTGTTGGCACCGGCCATTTACGCCGCCTTGATGCCGCCCACCCGTCTGCGTTTGCAGCATTTGACGCTTTGGGTCAAGTGCCAGAGAATTTCAGCCTTGGAATTGGCCGTGGCGCTTCGTGACAATACGTCCTTGAAATCGTTGGATTTGTATTTCACACGCGACAAGAGCAGTGAAGTGGATGAGGATGGCAATAATAGCGATGTGGAAGAAGATCCAGCAGAATGGGTTGTCTTACCCTTGGCGCAAGTGTTGCAGCATCGCAACACTACTCTTACCAAGCTATCCCTGCAATTACCCACTGGTCTGTACCGTGGTGGATACAGCCATCGAGCTTTGCGGAGAATGATGGTGCACAATGAGACTCTTCAAGAGTTGCACGTGATTCGAGTGGACCGACAAAAGCGCATTCGAATTCCCGAAGTGGACTTTTATTTGCATCTCAATCAACTTGGTCGTCGAGAGTTTCGAATCGAATGTGCCGCCGGTGATTGCCATGATTGTGGCAACGAACTCTATCAGGCAACATTGAAACGTTGGGTGGAAAGTTTGATTCAGGAACGACGCAATACTGCCGTGGTATATTACTTTTTGTCCCTCAATCCATCGTTGCTGTTACCATCCATTGGTAGAAGTCGCCGTGAGGGGCGACGCTAGAAGCAGAAATCAGCACCAGTGATGCTACATGTAGGACTAAGGTGCAACAAAAAAGAAACCCAATACCAGCCACGCCGGTATGAGTTCAAACATGCCATGTTCCTTCTCGAAGTTCATCTGCATCATCCATCTCTTCCATAACAAGGAATGATTCGTTGAACGTCCTGAGTCGAAATGCCTGCGTGAATCGTTCTAGGAATCTTTGATTTGCTGCCTCCAAGTTTGGCTGCACGTATTTCGTCCAGCCTGTGACCATCGGGTGTTATCCGCCGTCGTTTCCCTCCCTGAAGGATAAACAAAGAAGCAACCCAGGAAAGAGTCGTATGGCCTTCTGGATGTAAAAACGCCCACTTTCCATTTCATCCAGAATCGAATCTCAGAATCCCGTCGAAATTGATGACGCATACCATTGGCTTTTGGATTTCCATATCTCAAACCTATTTTCCATCATGGCAATCTGAACTGCCTCCAGTGCCTCTGAACTGCCTCCAGTTCCGAGGCAAGCCTGGGCCATCCTACCGGTAGGTCTACAATGGCATGTTTGACCTCCTTGCCTCGTCCTTGCTGGTCTCATTCGCGATGTTGACAAATTCCCGTTTCCCTCACCGCATGCTTCCTCCGCTTCGCCTGCTTCTGCCTCTCCTCCGGCTCCTGCTTCCACCTCCTTCGGCTTGACGAGGTCCGTTTCGAGAACACCCACTAACCTCACTGACCTCATGCACAGGTTCGCCAACGTCAGGAAGTGTCGGACGGAAGGTACCGGTACAGTACCGGCATGAGAGTGGTGTGTGTACTGGTAGCGAGGAAGCCCGGAAAGTGCGTTTCGAAAGAAGAATCGCGTGCTAACTGGAAGGCATCCATGCTGTCTTGGTTGCCAGCTGAGAAAAGACCCCTCTTGTAGCGAAATCCGCAGGCATTTCAATAGTCGCTTGAGTTTTGGCAACGCAACAGAAAAGATTTTTTTGACTCCCGAGCTTGAAGTGTGATCGCTTCACAGTTCCGTTGCCCGTGCCCTAGGTACCGGTACCGTAAGCTTCCATGGCAGACGAAATAAATGCTTCGAATACTGTGGCGACGACGTCAAAGGAGCAACAGCACCTTATCACCTTATCGGCGCATTCTTGAACGTCCCGCTATCGGTCGCAGCAACTGTGTCTTGGATCTTCGTGCACGAATAGTACACTGTGACTTCAATTTTGAGGCAGGAGTCCCCTCGCACCAACCTCTCATCGGAAGTTCCAGCCCCCACAATTTGCTCCCATCACAAGTCTAAAACAAACTCGTACTCAGCAACCATAATCAACAATGGCGTTCATCAACAACAACATCATGACCAACAAACTTACCACCGCTTCCAAAACGACGACGAAGAACAACAACGACGAAAAGCTTGCATCGTTTGGAGACCTCCCTGAAGAGTTGATGCAGCATGTCCTAAGTTATGCGGATGTCCCAACACTGGGTGCATGTGCAATGGCTTCCAAAGGCCTCAGCCAACTGACCAAGAGAGACGCCGTGTGGGCCGTGCACTTGAAGGCACTTCTCAAGAAGCTATACGACGAAAACATGGATGTCCCCTACATGCTCTCCGAGACAGAGTCGCCCAAGTCAACCCAGTTCCTTGACTTCCTCAAGGTGCTCTGTTCGGAGATGGGCAAATCGCCATCATGGGACACAAACGTTGACAGACACTTTTGCTCCTGGTTGGCCGCTTTGGACTTGGATCGATCGGAGGTGCTTTCCAACCTATTCCACGGACTCTTCGTGGCTGATGTCTCGTCTTCTCGTGAATACTACAAGCTTGTTGGATCATGGGCCGTTGTTGGCTACGAAAACTCACGCAACCAGTTGGGCTTTTGCCGCTGTCCCATGTGCCCCTGCTACTACAACTGGGACGAAGATGGAGCCCTTGACGATTTGCCTGCCATCCGCTTGTTTCGTCCTGAACTTTTGGCTCGATGTGGAGGTGTTGAAAAATGCTTTCGGACTAGCTAGCTCAGCCGCATCGATTCTTTCCACCAACAACGCACTCTTTTTGTGTTGGCTCACTTGTTTAGCCATCATTAGCAGCAGGAAAACATAGTAATTAATATTGATAATCCCATAGATCACCATTATCAATACGCGATGCGATACGAAACGACGCCGCTGGTCCTAGCTTCTGGTAGTGCTCACAGAGGATTACGCAGTTCCTGCCGTACTCAAACTAGTTGACGTTTGCTGGGTCGTGGCTTCCCCGGTGGGCAATTCAAACTCTGGGCTTTTGGTTTCGGCATCAGGTGGCTTGGCTTCACATCCTCCTGCTTCGGATGGATACTCTGACAAGCACTCCACCTATCTTCTTCCGAGCTGGCTAGACTACCGTATCCCGGCACAGTTTTGTTGTTCAATCGTATTGAGGCATCAGATTGATTCGCCCCAGAAGGCTGCAATCTTATCATCGTCATGAAATTGCTTTTTGTCGTGTGGATTCTGGAACGTGCGGTGAAACAGTGGCCACCTGCACTGCAACAAAAGGGCACGATGCCATGGAAGAGATGCCAAGGAGACGACGCTAGCACTCCTCTGTTCTCGTTCGTTTAGCGGTATTGACGCGGATTGCTGCGACGACAACATGCTTCAGGTGAAATTCCAGAAGTGGTAACATTATCGAGTTGCATTCCCTGGACGCTCATTGTGTCCAATACATGAGTCGAGTCAAGTCGAGTCTGCCTGAAACTGCTCGGATGAAGTAGGTGTTTCTGCACAAAAGGACTGGAGATGCGTACGCATGTGAGAATTGTATCTCCAAGAATTGTATCACCGTTATGACTCGTATGATTCCAACGAAAGAAGCAAAAGAACATTGCGTTCCGACAATCAAGTCATGGAAACAGCCTTAAGGACGGCGAGAAATGAAACGACAAGGACAGGACCTGCAGAACGCAAGCCACAAACATCCGCACCCTTTCGCGTTCCTTTACCAATGTGTCTGGGCTCTCCCCTTATGAAGTTATGGAATAGAACGTAATGGTCCTTGTTCCAAGAAAAGGAGCGCAATGATCACTGGGTAACAAACCAAAGCAAACACACCCGGCAAGGACGAATCCAATGCAGGTGTAACTTGACGCGCATTTGACTCACCTGGATGCCTGCAAGCACCAGGGGTTGGTTTGCTTTTCCTGTATTCGATTCAATTCAGTCTCTTGCCAGTCTGCTCTGATGAAGTAAATACTTGAGCACAAAACGAAGGACTGGAGATGAGTATGCATGTGAGAATTGTATCACCGTTATGACTCGTATGATTCCAACGAAAGAAGCAAAGAACATTGCGTTCCGACAATCAAGTCATGGAAATCAGCCTTAAGGACGGCGAGAAATGAAAGGACAAGGACAGGACCAGCAGAACGCAAGCCACAAAACATCCACAACCTTTCGCGTTCCTTTACCAATTTGTCTGGGCTCTCCCCTTATGAAGTTATGGAAATAGAACGCAATGGTCCGTGTTCCAAGAAAAGGAGCGCAATGATCACTGGGTAACAAACCAAAGCAAACACACCCGGCTAGACGATAGTGACCAATCCAACGCAGATGATAAATTGAAGTGCATTTGACTCTCACCTTGATGCCTGCAATCACCAGAGTTGGAACGCTTTGCCTGTACTCAATTCAGCCTCATTCCACACTGCTCCGATGAAGTAGGTGTTTCTGCACAAAAGAAGGACTGGAGATGAGTATGCATGTGAGAATTGTATCACCGTTATGACTCGTATGATTCCAACGAAAGAAGCAAAAGAACATTGCGTTCCGACAATCAAGTCATGGAAATCAGCCTTAAGGACGGCGAGAAATGAAAGGACAAGGACAGGACCAGCAGAACGCAAGCCACAAAACATCCACAACCTTTCGCGTTCCTTTACCAATGTGTCTGGGCTCTCCCCTTATGAAGTTATGGAAATAGAACGCAATGGTCCTTGTTCCAAGAAAAGGAGCGCAATGATCACTGGGTAACAAACCAAAGCAAACACACCCGGCTAGACGATAGTGACCAATCCAACGCAGATGATAAATTGAAGTGCATTTGACTCTCACCTTGATGCCTGCAATCACCAGAGTTGGAACGCTTTGCCTGTACTCAATTCAGCCTCATTCCACACTGCTCCGATGAAGTAGGTGTTTCTGCACAAAAGAAGGACTGGAGATGAGTATGCATGTGAGAACTGTATCACCGTTATGACTCGTATGATTCCAACGAAAGAAGCAAAAGAAAACATTGCGTTCCGACAATCAAGTCATGGGAATCAGCCTTAAGGACGGCGAGAAATGAAAGGACAAGGACAGGACCTGCAGAACGCAAGCCACAAACATCGACAACCTTTCGCGTTCCTTTACCAATGTGTCTGGGCTCTCCCCTTATGAAGCTATGGAAATAGAACGCAATGGTCCTTGTTCCAAGAAAAGGAGCGCAATGATCACTGGGTAACAAACCAAAGCAAACACACCCAACCAGACGATAGTGACCAATCCAACGCAGATGATAAATTGATGTGCATTCCACTCTCACCTTGATGTCTGCAAGCAACAGGGGATGGTTTGCTCTTCCTGTATTCGAAGTGATTCAGTTCAGCCTTGCCACTCGTCCACCCAGAGAGCGATGGAATGTGGATTGATTTCATCCCCCCTCTCTTGATAAGGTTAACTTGACCGTTGGCCCTGCAATACACTTTCTAGCTAGGTGTGCAAGATTTGATGACAAAGTTCAAGAGTCGTCTTCTTTGGAACCACCAATATACCGTGGTCGTTTTTGGAGTTGGGTATCCTGAAAAATTCCCGAAGAATCCATGGCTGCGACTTCCGCTTTAATCTTTTTGACCCCCCGTAAATCTTGTTCTGTTTGAGACGATAAAAAGGCACTCCGTTGCATTTCCGCATGACCTTGCCCAAATCGTCTGGATTGAGATCGTTGTGATTCTCCACTTTCCGTACGAGTAGGGACTGTGGCTGGCGGAGGTGGCATGTCGAAATTGTAGTATAGCGGTAAATTGGGTGTATGACTAGTGCCTTGTTGTCTGGGAGGATGCTGATTGTGAAAGGGGTGACTGCTTTGGTTGTTATTTGCAGGAAGATTGCGGTGGCTGTTGTAGTCGAGTTGATTGTCGTTCTCTGTCACATACTCCATGTCTACTACTTCAGTGGCCTCTTCAGTTGCACTCGATTGGGCCATACTGGACTGTTTTGGGTATCAGAATGATGAATCCACTTCCTCTGGAACTGATAATGGTAGCGAAGCGCAAATAATGAGCCCGACCAAGTCGACCACAAGACTAGATCCGGGCAGATCAGAGTCCCAGTCGATCGGTTATGCTGGGAAAACACAGGGCGTCAAGGTCCAACTTCCCTGCCACCGAGCGAGAGTCTCAAGGGACCACTGCAACACCGATTGCTATTGCCACTAAAGCTAGCTACTGGTAGCCACCTCCAGCGAGATAATTGGCTACAATTCAGCAGCCGCACGTTCGTCAAAGCCAGTCAAAACAGCCATGAAAGACGAAAGACTGCAGCTCTTGTTGGCGAAGTAGACAAGTCTCAGGAACTCCAAGGCCTAGGAGCCTTCGAGGAAATTTCAGTGTATCTCGTAAAACCTTTGCACCTCTGGTATCGAAAGCTTTATTTTAAAATTGACTTATACTAGTAGATCCATGAGTAATGATTTTTTACAGCACAGACCACAGAGCTGCCCCATTTCATTGGTCTGTCTCATGAGAGCTCCCATGACTGTGCATACTAGTACATGTATGTAGTGTTGCCCTACTCTAGCTGGCATTGGGCCACTCAGAGGCCCAGGTTGCAGTCAAGCTAGAAAAGCAATTGGCACCTTTTGCCAGGCAGGGTAGATCAGACGACTCTACCTAGAGAGTTTCCCTGGCCTCCTAGCCATCTGCCGGTGCCGCGTCAGCTCCCAGGATGAGATGTCATGGGCAGGGCAGTGTCTCATAGTACTATCTAGATATGGCTAAGCACAGAGACGGTGTATCCCTCCACGTGCGTGTTGGGCTGATAGTAATGGTGGTGGGAGGTGGATGAATTACACCTGACTGCTGGATCCCAAGCATTGAACTGGGGGCTGCCAGGGTGGGATAGGTGTGTGGTGGGCTTCGCGAGCAAACACCACGGTCGTCCATCCTGGCTGTTGATCGGAGCAAGTGAGCGGATCAGCAGCCACTGTCGGCTACTCACTCCTACCGAGCACTATCTGCAGTAGCAACAAGTCTATGCCAAGGGCAAATGTGGTATCTATATTGCTCTGCTTGGAAGTGTCGAGTCATGGCGTGAGCGACCTCTAACCTTGTTTGATTGGCTTGCAATTCATTCTCTTGAAGTGTAAGCAACCGGAGGACGGCCCGACTGCGTACATAGTGACATCTATATCATGAATTATATCTACTTTATCTATCAGCTGGATCTGCGTTTGGACTAACCTAATCCATCGTCCACCTCACTCAATTAATTAGGCCACTACAGCCGCAGAGGGTCGTTTCAGTGATTTCTTGGTGGCAACACTACCGGTAGCTTCCATCATGGCGTCAACCTGCTTGAAATTGAGCAACTCTTGCTCGACCATACCAGCAAAGTCCTTTAGGAGCGTCTTTTGGTGGTCATCGATTTCCCGGGGGCGCTGGTCAATCAGACACAAGGTACCGATCCTATGCTTGGCTTCATCCACACCACTGTCAATGTTTGGGATTTTGAGAGGGCATCCACAGTAGAACCGGATCTTCAAGCCATCGACATCTGACACGAGCGGATTGTCGGCAAAGCGTTCGTCCTGCGTAGCATCCGGAACTACGAGTATCTTGTCGCTCAGAATGGCATGACCACAGAAGGAAATGTCTCTGCCCGTTTCCGAGGGCTTTTCTTTGCCGCCTCCTGGTATGGGGCAATGCCATGCCGACGACTTGAACCACTGGCGATTGGTGTCCACCAAGCTGATCAACACAAGAGGCATGTCAAACACCTTGGAGCACAAGCTCGTGATTCGATCAAACCGCTTCTCTGGAGCAGTATCCAGAACTCGCAAGGCCCACAAAGCCTTCACGCGAGCTCCTTCGTTGTCCGGAATGACGGGGGGCACCCATCGACAAGTTCTCCTGGCAATACCCATTCGGATCCGTGTGCGGATGTAGGACTGTTTGAAGGGCTCCACCACCCAATCTGTCACACCTGCGCTGTCGCCTTGTGATTTGATTGCCTCCAAGGTGGCCTGGTTCGGTACGGTGACGAGGTAGGGGACAGCATGTCCCCATTCGCCTCCGTTGAGTCGAACGCGCTTGCAGTTTTCAATCATGCAGTTAGTGCTTTGGCTGTCGCCAGTATGGCGAACCAGGACCAGAGATGGTTGCCGTTTCAAAACGCGGTCGACAAATGATTCATCATCTTTAACATAGACAGCGTCAACTCCATCCGCCTGCAAACCTTCAAAGGAATCACGAGATGGATGGCTAATCACCACCTCTTGGGGCGTTGCCAGTTGCTGTACAAAGGCGCTTCCTTTGCTGGTTTCGTTGTGGGTTTTGCTTGGTTGAACATCATCTTCAATATCCACAATGACTGCTGGCTTTGTGGATTCCGACACTCCTTGCGAAAAATGGGGCTTTCCCTCGCTGTTCTCTAGCTTCATTGTGGAGTTGTCAGAGGCCGCAATGACCTGTAGCGTTCCATTGGCTGCCTTGACACGGTCCTGTGCCATTTGGAGAATCTCATCTACCTGATCATCTGTGCGGTTTGGATCGTGATGGAACAAGGCTAGCTTCTTTACACCCACTGCCAAGCACATGTCCACAACGTATTCTACCGTGGCGTGCCCGTATCCTTCTGTTTTGTGGTACTCAGAAGCAACGTATTGGGTATCATGAATGAGGAGGTCAACCCCGGCAAAGAAGTCTGCATGCTTGTCATCAGGTGTGATGACTGTACTGTTTTCCTTTCGCTGATACCCCTTGACCGCCATTGTACGATCGTAGGGTTCGTGGTCTGTGCAATAGGCAATGGTGGTGCCATCGGATGCCTCCAGGCGATAGCCGAGAGTCAAGACGTTGTGGTTCAAGTACTGTGTGGCCACATGGATGTCTCCCACTTGCAACTCTCCTTCTTTCAAGTCACGGTAACTGATGTTGGCCTCCAGATTGTCGATGGAGAGAGGAAAGAACTCATGAGACATTTGGCTGGAGAGCTTTTCTTTGATGGTATTCGAAAACCCTCCCGGGGCATGGACATTCCATTCCGATCCCTTGATGAAGAACGGGGCAAAGAAGGGGAATCCTTGGATGTGATCCCAGTGCGTGTGAGACAGGAGAATGTGTTGGTTGGTCAGCTTTCCTTTCTTTACCAACTTTTGGCCCAGATCGTAGGCACCTGAGCCCATATCAAGGACAATCCGAGTCGATTCCGTCTCGACTTCGACACAACTAGTGTTGCCTCCATAGCGGATCAAGTCCTTGTGAGAGCGAGCGATGGAGCCACGGCAACCCCAAATGGATACAATCATGGTCGAATTCTTGAATTAAGTGCAACCGATGTGAGAGCAGCGTTAAGGTCGCAGGAAGGGGAGTATTTTGACAACAGGAGGATGTAAGCGCTTGGAGCAACAATCAAATAAATGGGAACGAGACAGAAAAGCTGCTGTGCTGTTGCTACTCTACTGAACTCAGAGAAGAGTTTGAATGGACGAAGACAGAAATGCTGCATCAAATCCAGCAACAATGCAGCCCCTTGTTGAGGTGGGGTTGCTTTGCTGCTTTGAGAGTCCAACACCGGTACGGTAGCTATCCTGCTCTATCTGGAAGGCACCAGGTTTTAGCCGTAACCCTACTTCAACCCTAGAAAATTTCGGATTTTCAATAGTCGCGCTGGATCGCCGAAAGTCGTTCTGAAGTCGCGCACCGCGACTATACCACGACTTTTCGGCGCGACGAGAACGACTATCGCGACTATAGCGCGACTATAGAACGACTATATTGGTCAACTCATTCGACGGACTATATTGGTCAACTCATTTTTCCGACCGTGGAACTGCACAATGGCGGCCATGGCACAACAACAGCAGCAACCGTTCCTTATACCACCTTCCTACATTCTAAGGGAGGGTCTGAAGGCTTGCAATGTAGACGAGAAGACCCAGGCGAGGCGCCTCACGAGTACAAATGTTAGACAGT